ATTCTTTATGTCTCGGTGGTCGTCGACTTCCTAAATATGCAAAAGACTATTTTCCACATGTTAAATATTGATTACTATTAATGCTTATGTAAAATGAAAGTATTGAAAATAGACATAAAAGTTATTTTATATATAATTGAAAAGAGCTACATCTATGTATGTACAGGAAAAATTATATACATGATAATCCTGGACTGATACAAAACATAGTGAAAAATAGTTATTCTCTAGGAAACAAATTCAGAATAACAGCTCAAAGTCGAGTTATTTGGTAGGGTGTGGGTGGGTGTGGGTGTGGGTGTGGGGTGTCGGTGTGGGGTGTGGGAGGGCGTGGGTGTGGGTGTGGGGTGTGAGTGTGGGTGTGTGGGTGTGAGTGTGGGTGCGGGCGTGGGGTGCCGGTGTGGGGTGTGGGAGGGTGTGGGTGTGGGTATGAGTGGGTGTCGGTGTGTATCATTTCACCCACACCCACCCCCACACCCCCACCCACCCACCCACACCGACCCACACCCCACTCACACTTCACCACCCCACACCCACACCCCAGCAGTGTCACATATCCAAGATTTTGGAGATGCCACCACGTCTTCCGCGGGAGATGCCGCATCTCGCGCGAGAGATGCGGGTGTGGGTGTGCGGGATGCGCATCTCTAAAGGAGATCTTACATCTCCAGTGGTGAATGACCATATCTCTCGAGTGTGGGTGTCGCGTCTCCCGCTGGAGACGCGGCATCTCCCACGGGAGATGTGGTGGCATCTCCAAAATCTTGGATATGTGACACTACTCACACACCCTCACCCACCCACACCCCACACCCCACACCCACACCCCCACACCCGACCCCTACCCACACCCACCCACTCCCCACACCCACACCCACCCACACTCACCCAAAATTTCTCAACCAGTTTACATGGTATAAAGCTCGAAAGAGTTTTATATTGTAGAGAACATTGTACTGTACAACTTACAAGAGTTTAATTCTTTATTTCCGATTTACTGTTTGAGAATCATGACTCTTTTTCCATGGAGGCGCCTCTAATATTCTACAGTTTTTTAAAGAAAAACTAGCGTCGAAAGCAAACAAAGAAAATTATTTAAAAATCGAGTTTTGTTAAGCTGTAGAGGTAAGTGTTGACTGCATTTTGATATCAACACGACGTCTGTGTAATTAGATTTGGAGAAGAAATATGAACACGTGGCGGCCTCTTTTTGTTTATCACTGACATTAGGATAACACTTGAACAACTCAATTTTGGGGCTGAAATGTTTACTATAAGTCTTCTAGATCTAGATGCACATCTCCTAAAATTTTGAGATATGTTCTGAAACATGAATCGGTTTCTCACAGAGAGGTTCTTAGAAAAAATTAGTGAAATTTGTGAATTGTGTGAATTTTATTTATGTTGAAAAGAAAGTGTATTTTTGTAAGGACACGTTGCAAATTTATCCAACATTGTTCGAAAAAAATGCAGAAATTTTATTGAGACAATCAGCGTGAAACCATTGGTTAAGTACATTATTATAAAATGTAGAAAAGATTCTACACCTCTTATTTACTCTCATTTAAAAGTAAGTAAATAGATTATTAAGTTATCTTGAGTCATTTTAACTTTTTAATATTATTTACAACAGAAAATCAACTAGCTAATATCTAGTTCTTCTTAAGTAAAAAGATTTTACTAAAAGATTGATAATCTTCACATTAAATCAAATCTTTAAATTTCATTTCAAAAAGATCAAAAATGACTTGAAAGCTTTTACTCTACACTTAACAATCTTAGAAGTGAGAAAATTCATCCGTATGAACTTATCATACTTCGAAAACGTATTAATCTCTTGGTATCATTGAAAATTATGGTAAATGAAAGATTTCCATTTTACATCGAATCTATTTTGAACATTCTTCTTGATAAAACAGGTTGTTTCAAAGTATATTTCACAGACCAATTCGTCAATTATACACTTTTTTGTTATATGACTAGGTAATTATCATTAGTTAATTTATTTGAGAAGCAAGGATATTCAATGAGAAGAAGATACTTCGTTCAGTTTAGCTGCAGTATATATTCAATAATAGTTTACGCATAGATACTTAGAGTTAACAGAATACGTTGAAAGTAAACATTTGGGGAAGTGAAAGATGTCACTGACAAAAAACCTCATTTTTTCCTTTCAATTGGACGTTGAATGATCCATACAACTCATATAACATCTGACAGAGAAAAACCAAGAAATAAATACACAGTTTTGGCAGTGGAAAGTGTACCAAGTAGCCACAAGATGTACAAAACATCTACTGCTTCTGATGCATATAATACAATTTGTTGAATATGTTTATATTTTATTCTAGAGCTTTAAAAGTTGCATGTTATATTAAGTTAGAGATTTTATTTAAATGATTGTAGCACTATTATATAAATTTAGTCCTTAATTTATGTTTTATTGTATAAATTCGTATTTGATTTCTTTTCTTATATTCTGATCTGTGTACCAGCTGCTGGTATTGAACATTTATATACTGCTTAGTCGTTTTCTAAGTATCGATTTACAGTTCTCATTAAAGAAAAAATAAGCACATTGTTTTAGTTTTTTTAGATTGTAAAAAAACTTGCATATCTGTATACTTGGGTTCGTGAAGAAAAGCAAGTGTAAGAAAACAATTTGCTAAAGATTTTCATGACAGACATTCAAAATATCTAGGAAAGATCTTATTTTCATTAGAAAGATAATACTGCTTGAATTTAGAATTAAATTGACACGCATCTTCGTCTGTTATTTCAAACTTATCAATCAGCAGTGAAAACTAGTCATTAAGAGCAATGAAAGAGAATCATTGGAACACATTTCATCAAACGTATTGTAGCTTCTGTCTATCTTCTAAAATATATATATAGCAGTTTCGAAATTTATTTTTAAAAGATCTATTGTTTTATTCATCTGTTTCGTCAAAAAATTCTTTCAAGAAAATTCTATTCTCAGTATAGCTATCTGTCATTTTTTATTGTATTGTAATTCATAATGTAGTACTTTGAGCATATATTTTTATAGATGTTTATAATACGTGTATGAATTCATTAAAATATATTCATAATTTCAATGAATAGATCAAGTTTTTCATTCGATGGATGCATTAATATAATGATGTCGATAAAATATAAAGTTTCATACAACCAGATCACAACAAACATGCTTGTTTTAAACATATATCAATGTATATTTATACTAGAGAGCTTTTATTCAAAAAAAGTTCGAAAAATTAAACAATTTTTTAATTCGAATGTATCATTGTGAATCACAAATTGATTTAAGATAGAAATCGATAGAAAACATTCTTACAGAGTCTTTTACTCTGCATTGGAAAGAAACAAAAAATAAATTCGTTTTCTATGTACTGTCACATTGTCGCATTCGTTTGTCAATACGAACGCATATATGAGGTTTTAATATTGACTTTCTACTAGTGCAATCAAATATATGCTGTTCATATTTTTTATTTTTTTTTTCGATATTCAAGTCAAGATTATGCATTTGTTCGTTTTTCTCATGGAATAGATTTTGACTAGCAGTAGTTTTTAATAATGGAACGACTTTGTATTACGATTCTTTTGATTTTTCATCGGTAATTATTTTGTAATGTATGAACGTTAAATTAATGACCGAATTACTACTGGCATTAATAAGAGATTCGTACATATTTTTTACACATAATAGAATTCCATTTTCCCAGTTAAGTCGTATTTTAAGAGCGAACAAATGTTATAGAAATTAAAATAGATCCATACGAATAAGAATAGTTCATAGAACTACTGAAATATAAAGTAGAGACTACGCACCTGTCACTTTAAAACATAATATATTACGCTCTTTACAATCGAAAACAGCATACTTCTATACTTCATGTATTTCTGTATGCTTCTATATATTTTTCTATACTTCTTGAACTTCTTCGTACTTCTCAAAGTGAATATGTCCTTCTATATATTTTTGGAGATCTTTTTACTCAAGGAATAAAAGAGAAATATATATTTTCATTTAAAAAAAAAGAACAAATAGTAAAAGTAAAACTTGTATTAGAAGACGAAGTGTCAGTCTTCTTTTTACTATTAGTTATTTGCAGTAACTTGCTCAACGAGAAAAATGTCGTGCCATTTCTCTTTCTTATAATAGCGAACAGGAAAGAAAGAAAACACATGTAGAAAGAGAACTGCGACTTATTTCAACTATGATGATCATACAAGAACCATGCTGAATACCTAACAGAAATGAATATGATGCAAAAAATTATTTGTTCATTAGTTTTTGTTAAATGAAAATCTATATTATTAAGAGAAAATGACTAGATTTGTCTTTTATCTTTTGAGTAAAAGAAATTCTCAAAACCATATAGAAGGAAATATGCATGCTGAGAAGCATCAAGGAATAGAAATAAGTATGCTTTTCGCCTTGATTCTATGTGAATGTAAAAGACAACGTTCATTACACATTTTTCTGTTTGTTTTCCAACAACAGTTTTTCTGTATTTATATCTGAGTAGTGTGTCTGATAATTTCGACTTTAACATAAAACCAAAAAAAAATAAAAATTGTTTAGTGACAACACTTTTTAATACGAATAGAATACGTTTTAGATAAAGAATATGACAGAATCTCTTTGCTCATGTTGCCAGCTTCTTGGAAAACCGTCGGCTCAAATAAATTTTATCATCGCTACAGGCGTACCAGACAGTATGGTGTACCAACGAATCAAGTATTTACTAGAAAATTATTCAGAACGTTCTTCATACACAAATGATATTCGTCTAACTAATTATGAAACATTGATGGATATCAATAATCACCTCTTTAGTCTTGGAAATCATTCATCATCAAATGATCAATCAATATCAACTCCTATACAAACATGTTGTGATGGATTCACTGCTATGTCAATTGATATTGAGGATATATCGAATTCTTCGCAGCTAGAAAGATTTCAGAAAACAATTCTTGAACTATTAGACTCAACAACTGAAGAAAAATATATAAAACGTAAATTAAAAAGTTGGATCATGCTTAGCGGATCAGTATGTTTAGAACCAGCATTACTTAATATATTTCTTCGACACACTAATCGTAATTCATTATTACGAAGCTTCAAATTGACGATACTCTGTTTTCTTGTTGATGAAAAACGACTTTTCGAAAATTGGCTATTTCAAAATTTATCTATTAAAGATTATCAATCAAAGAGTTTCCCTGAATATCAGCGCCAAATTGACAATTTCTTCTTCTTATTAAATTCTTCAAACTATCTTCAAGAAAATACATTACTTGTTGAAGAACGAACTGTTTTAACTGATAGTACACTTCAGACATTGATTCGCGATCATTTTCGTAATGATTCATCAAAATATCGTGCAAACAATGATAAACTCCGTTTCGATATGGCGAAATTACTGTCACCGTGCCAACGAACAGTGCGTGACGTACGTGATGTTCGTATTGAATTACAAAACCGTTATAGTCGCATCGTAGAAAATCGATTGAAGCCACTTCTTCAAGATCTTCAACAATCATCTACGGCTGATAATGCTGCTCGTCAAATTGTTCATCTTGTTCTAAATGATTTTGAACGTATGAATGACGAAGAATTGCGAGTCTATAAAAGACAATTAATCCTTGGCTTTCGAGTCCATGATGCAGAACACGCAAACACAATTGCTGCTCAACTAGTTCGTTATGCTCTTCAGTTACTCAGAAACCATAATGATAATGCATCAATACCACTTATCTATTCAATAGTTTCAGTTATATGTATATTAGGTAGCCATTTTTATTTTCGTCATGAATTATTTAATCATACACCTGAAATATACACATTGAGTTTGTTGCTTGTTAGTCAACGACAGTATGCGCTAACATTATCTGGCCTTCGACTTTGTAAAACTATTCTAAATGGTGATCAAAACGAATATAAATATGCAATCGCTTATTTAAATCATGATCCTTTAACTGCACGCACAATTTTAGATGCAATAAAATGGCTTCTATCGCCTTATCAAGCGCTCAAAAAATTGTGGAAAGAAGAAGAAGAACAAGAAGCAATAAAAGAATATGATGGTTATGAGTAAGTACAATTATTCACTCTAATGTACGAGTACTTAACTGATTGTTACTATTCCTATTAGGTCAACCGAAGAAGAATCGAAAGTGTATATTGCAGAGCGTTGTTGCTTTCGTCATGCAGGCATTCTCTGTGGACGATCCTATATACGTACTCTTGCATCATTATTTTATGGCTCAGCGGATCATTGTATGCAGGCGACAGAGGATGATGTGCACAACTTTGCTACAGTCATTGTTGTTTTAGCAGATTCTCGAATGGTTGATGGGAGTCGATGCGAAAACAAACATCGTCTTACTTTAATGCTTATAAGTGAATTATGTGCTCTTCTAACACCTATTCTTTTATACAGCTTACCTTCGGTTAGTTTAGCACTACTGAATGAAAATTATTTATTATTAGCTATTCCTAAAGCTATTCAAGGCTTGCTTAAAACAAATGATGTCGGCGAATATATGATAAACCTATGCATTCGTTTTTATACGCAGTTTGTTCAATCAAAATGCAAACAGAAAAAACTTGACGATGATATAGTAGATGAAGAAAAAATAGAATCATTCGATACGCCAACAATTGAATCTACAATCGATACAATTGTTCCTTTGAATCTTTCTCAAGATTTAATTTCATCATACTTTAATTTATATCAACAAATTCAGAAAACATCTTTACTCGATGAGAAATTAGCAGAACAAGCACAAATTCAAGCATTATTCAATGAAGAATGGAAAAAGTTCGATATTCTACAACTTCAACACGATAATCAACAAATAAAACATGAACAAATGTTACTCAAAGAAGAATTGCTACAATTAAGAAATGAATTACAACGTACCCAATCAGAGAGAGATCAATTTAGAAAAGAAAATATAAGAATATCTCAAGAAATAGATAAACTTAAACTAATGCCAACTACCAGTACACCTGTAGAATCTCAACAGTTATCAATAGTTACTTCTACTGATAATAATAATCAGAAGGATTCCATTGATGGATTACAAAGCCTTCCTCCAAATGAAATTACCTCGGAACAAGCAGAAAAATGTATTCGTGAGATTTATTATCGGCGAACAACATTCAATGATAATGATATGCGAAAATCTATTTGTGGATCACTCAAACATCTTGGTTCTCATCTTTATAGTTCACCTGTTCATTTTTTACATGAACTTATTCAGGTTATTTTTCTTTTCGTTTTCGTTTTAATTCAATAGATTTCTTTATATTATAGAATGCTGAAGATAATTCTTATGATAAGTCAATTATACCATGTTTACGTATTGAACTTAATCATAGTTATATACTTTTATCAAACAATGAACAAGGTCTTCGAGCAAGAGATGTATTAGCTATTTGTAGTTTAGCTGTTAGTACAAAGACAATTGAACAAGAACATATTGGTGAAAAAGGTGTTGGTTTTAAATCAGTTTTTGCTGCTTCTAATCGACCAATACTTATTTCACATGCTTGGAAATTTTGTTTTCATGTATCAGGTCTTGATGCTATGTCATATATAACTCCATTATGGATAACAGATCAAGATATTCCTGATTGTATTTCTAATCAAATTTCAACATATGCTCAACATACTCATCTTTATTTACCGCTCAAATTACAAGCACATACACCCGAAGCTAATATGTTTCTTGATCAAGTTATCAAAGCTGCAGATCCATGTATATTACTTCATATGCGTCACTTAAAAAAACTTGAAATTATTGATAAAAGACAGAATAAAGTAACAATCATTGAAAAAGAAATCATAGGTCCAACGAAATTAGAAGAACAATCAAATGTAACATTTGAAGATTTTACATTTCTTAATCTTGCTGGGTCTATCATTCAATTAAATACTTTAACAGGATATAATACTTTTCGTGTGTATACATGTTATATTGATGTACCAAACTCAATTGAACAACGACGAACGTCAAAAACACGACTTATTATAGCATTTCCTTGTGAAATAAATTATGATTTGACAAGTACAGTTTATGCAGGTTTACCTGTTTGTGATCTTGGTTTTAATTTTTTATTTAATGCCGATTTTCAATTAGTCACTAATCGAGAAAATGTTCGAGAAAATGTTTTATTCAATACACTTATTCGTAATCATTTATCAGCACTTTTTGTCTATCTTTTATTAAATGATATAGATTTAAGAAAAGATATGAATCGATATTGTCCATCATTAAATACACATCAAGGAAAATATTCATCATGGTGGCTTGTTATGATTGATAATATCAATGAATTAATAACTAAATATCTTTCAGTACTGTTTGAAATTCAAACAGGTAAGTGAATAGTTCTCAAAAGTAATTTTAAAAACAACTGACAATCATATTTAGGCAAAACAATACGTTACTTTAATAAAGATTTAGCATTACTTGTATCAAATGAACAATTATACAATTGTGCTGATATTCATGTGATTGATACCGATCATACTTTCTTGACATCTGAACAATTAAAATCTTTTCAAATTCAAACAGTTTCAATTATAGATATTTTGAATTGCTTTCCACATCGACAAGAAACATTAGAAAATAAATATCGTCAACAATTTGAACTATGGACACAAAGACAAGATGAACAATGGTGGTCTCTACTTTTTCATCATTTAGCTCAAATGATGACCTCAGAAATTTCTCATAAAATTTTAAAAGCACCAATTTTTCTTCTTCAAAATGATCCTCAAAGACAATATTTACCAATCAGTGATAATACACATTTACTTCTCTTTATTAGTGATAATCCACAATTTCGAATGTGGAAAAAACAACTCACACTTTTACGATATTCTTCAAAATCAGAAAGAACTGCTCTTCTTAAATCGAATCATGTACAACTGCTTACAGAAGAGCGAATGATTGAGATTATTCGTCAAAATCATTTACAGTTAGCTATTTCATCTCTTGTTAATATTTCAATTGTTCAGTTAATCGAAGAAATATGGGAAGATTTATTCTATTTGAAATGTCATTTAAATAAGTTAGATAAATCTACTCCATTTCTTGTACCAGTTTTTGGAACATCAACTCTTATTCCAATTCAAAATGCTATATTGCCAACAATACTAGGAATAGATATTCGATCATTTATACATCCAACAAATTCATCGATCATTGCTTTTCCTTATCATCATGTTCATCATTCTCAATTGTTCAATATTCTTCAATGGGAACATTTTCTACTTGAAATGAATTGTCAGCGAGCATCGATTTATCTTCCAATAAACTATTCTATCATAAAATTACCATTTTTGCCAACATTAACAATGTTCACAGATGAAAAATGTGTTCAATTGGCAGAATTAATTCTTTCATATCAAAAAGAAAATACAAAAGATTGTCTTCGACAGTTTCCAATTGTTGATGATTCAAAAAGCGTACAACAAATAAGTCCAATCTCAGCTACTTTTGATGAAATGATCGTTCAAGATTTACCCTCGTTACCACGTATCACTATTCCATCTTATTGTCGTGTATTAGCAAAAAACCTTGGTATTTGTGTCGAATATGACCTTCGTACATGTGTTAATATTCTACAATTATTAAGTAATGAAAAAAATACAAACGTTGATTTGTATATTAAATGGTTAAGCCATTTCCAATTGTATGTTCGCCAACAACATATTGAATCGAACATAAAAACTTTACTATTATCATGTCAATTGTATCTTCCTGATCAAAAAAATTCCTATTTATTAAAAGATCTTTTAATTGTATCAAATAATGAAGAACAGCATGATAGTCTTTTACTCATTTCTAAATATCTCAAATTACAATTAATTTCACCATTAAATAATCAAATTTATTGGCAATTCAAAGATCTCTTTCATGTTTTAGGTTGTATATCTACGTCTACAATTACTATTGATCACATTTGTACTACAATCTATTGGGCAAGTCGTGACAAAAGTAATTTCTTCGCTTTGGGTGATTGTAATACAACGTTAACGGAAAATGGTATAGAAAAAATGATTGTTTTATATCAATATCTTGAGAATTTAATATTGAAATGTGTCAAAACGAATAGGTCAAATATTGATTTATATGATAACATTGTAACCAAAAAACATCCAACAGCATCATATGGTAGTCGAGAAGATTTAGAATGGCGTTTTAGTTTTACTTGTAATTCTTTATCACAACAATTGAAAAGATTAACTGGTATACAATCACAACGGAAAAAAATTGGTCTTCCTACAATTAATCGACAAATTATTACAAAAAAAAATGATAAGATTATTTATGCATGTTTAGAAACTAAAATCATTCAAAATTTATCAAAAGATATTAGACAACGTTATTTTATTTTACCATTGATTGCTCGAACATGTCCATTACTTTTGGCGACATTTGACATTGATTATATTGAACGACGAGGCAAAGTTCAATGGATACATAAAAATCATAATCTCGAGTTTTCTCTGAAACAATTAACAGAAGTCTTTCGTACGACTCTTAATGACTTAGAAATGGAAGTGATAACAGCAAAATATGCTAGTGTAACTCTTCTTCTATCCGATTCTTTTGTGATTGATTCAATCAATGAACAAAATGAAAATAAAATTGATCAATATGTAATAGATAGTGATTATCCTTTCTGGATATTTAAAAACACGATTCTTCTTTGTACTGGTCAGGACAAAGATGATAATTCAAAAGCAATTATTGCAATATCGGCTTTAACAACTCTATTACACAACCGAAAACATATACCATTCGAAGAAGCTAAATCAATTGCTCGACAAAAGATAAGTACATGCACTGCATTTCGTTCCGAACATACTGCACGTGTTGCTAGTACAGAACCTACCATTTATTCATATATTGATTTACTCTTTCCTACTGATCATCATTCTATTGAATCGATGATTATATCAATAGGAAAACATTGTACGTTGGAACAAGATCTTGAAAAAACTACAATAGGTATGGTTGCTATTGATCGAACTGCTGAGGATGAAATTTATCGCAATCGTGTAAAAACACAAAATCATATTCCTCGAAATAGGAACATGACTAACAATTGGAAAGATTCATCAATTGTAGATGGTATCGAACAACTTCGTATTGGTCAAAATGCAGAACATTTCTTTTTTGTCTATCTACAAAATCATTATGGTTCAATAGATGTAACACCGACAAAAAATTGGCGCTCGTCATCACGTCTTATTACTTATCCACAGTGTCAACGTAATATCGATGATTCAATTGGTTTTGATTTTGAATTACATGATACAAAAGAAATATTTGTTTGTGGATCAGGATCAAGAACAAAATATTGCTATTTTGAAGTTAAAGGCACTAGTGGATCATTCAATGAAACACATACTCGTTTTCATATTTCTCAAAATGAATTAGACATGTGTCAATCGATTGCAAACGATAAGAAACGACAAGAACGCGAAGCATATTTCATTGTTATTATAGAAAATTGTCTTGATCCCGAAAAGATCTCTTTCGGTACTGCTATTAATTGGTAGGATATAATTCATTCATATGCGATATATTGTGTATCTATCTTAGTTTATTTTGTTTTCTCATAGGAGTCGAAATTTCGAACAGGTAGACGGTATTGTCGACAGCTATCAGTGTAGAATTGTTTCGGCATCGTCTACAAACATCACTAACTCCAGAAGAGAAGAAACTAGAGATTATAATAATCATCAGCAGCAATCATCAATGATATCACATAGCAGAAATAACAATTCCACAACTCAGTCTATACCAACGGACAGAGATGATTCAGCATCAAGTCTATATGATTCATCTCCTCACCAAAATCAACAGCAACAAAGACGTAGATTTCACGGCAGAGATGGTGATAATTATACCTATTATCGTCAGAATCATTAAAAGAAATGATAACAAAGTTGTATATTTGGTTTTTGACAGCATTTATTTTTATAATTTTAATGAAAAATATAATAAATTAATAACAAACTACATCAGTTTTTTTAGCACAAACTAGAAAGTCATGCATAGATGAATATATCCTCGAAACAAGTAATTTTTTCAAAGAGGCTCATATAGAATTTATTATAAAAAAAGTGGTTACATATAATGATGATGGTACACATCAATCTTTAACTTTTATGCGAAATGGTTTATATGTATTAATTTAAAACTATATCTTAATTTCAGACATTCAAGACGATAAAACATGTATATATTCTTTCCTAATGATAGTAGATCACATTCCTGCGATTCACTCATTGTTATATTATCGCAAACAAATATATTTACGTTACAATAACATTTTAATACTATCAATGGTTATTTTCCATTTAGAAAAATCAAGAATACACAAAACTACTAAATTAAGAGTGACATTTATTGTCTATGCAACCGTGAGCGAACAGGTTTCCCACCATGTGTATAGAGTTCGCATTATTACAATAGGAGCTGTTAGCAATGAACAAATATAAGGAAGAACAATATTTTTTTGTGCTCATGTCAAGTTTATTTGAGGATGTTATATTATCAATATAGACAACATAATCATTGACTGGTGATGTATCAAAGGATATATTAATTAGTTCCTTAATATAATTAATTTATCACTAAGTGAAACCTCCACAAAGATAGCTTTCAATGTCAAATTGATTTGAACCAATATCATTACATGCAAATGTACGAGATGTTTTCTATGAATTTAACAATTGTGAAAATACTCTTCTTTTAGAAACGCGATGATGTATTTTCGTATCTAGCTTTGTTAATAATACGTAATAAACAATAATAATAGGTGGTAAAATCAAAATGATAACACGAAAGATAAAAAATAATGCTAAAAGCTAGATGTTTAAAAAGATATTCTAAATTTGTACAACAAATGTGAATTATGGCGTATTATAGACAAATCCTTAACTATTAACTGTTTTTTACTAAAAAAAATCTAATTCTATGAAAAGAAATTTAAGTTATTTCGATGAATGAAGCCAATTGATGCTGTGAAAAACTAAATTTCATATTAAAAGTCTGTTTTATTTTGTATACGGAACTCATACATTTCCTCTATGATAGACTTCTATGTAGTATAAAACATCGTATTCTGATTCAGGCGTTAGTTTAAATAATTGGTGTATTCACATTAATGATGATGAATTTGAAGATGAATTATTCAATATTCATTCATATTGTTCATATAATATGTTTTGATTATCGACCAAATAGTTTCTCTTTGTGTTGGATTTTTTGACAGCTTTCATTTCTCTTAAAAATTTATTTTAATGACTTTTTCTTTGACACTCTAATCAATGAAAATGAAACGTCTCGTGAATGATTGTCATCAACATGACTTGCCTTCTAGAAGAAAGGCGAAATAAACATTCTCGTCATTTCTTTATCTTACATTAAATTTAGTTGTTTGACTCTCCTTTAATTTTCTATTTGATAATTGCACATTCGAGGTTTTTGTTTTCGTTTTTGTTGCATACAAAAATATTAAACTTTACTTTCTTTTAACTGTATTGAATTGTGGTGTAATAGTGTACCTATTTTTCTTTCTATCAACAGAGTTCCATAGCCGATATGCTGCTAAAAGATACTTTTAAAATGAATATAAATATTTTCATATATTGATGTTCAATCTCAAAATACCTACTATTTTTTATAAAACTTCTTTTTTCTGTAGTGATCAATTCATGCAAATAAACACTTCATACGATTTAATACAAATTATACAGAAAACAATTACTATCGTGTAAAGATCGTAGGATATTAACTTAAAATAAAACGAAAAGGAAAAGATTTCTCGACAATTTTTTTTAATGGCAATTATACTTTAAAATTAAATCATAACTGTCAATGACTAGTCGATGAACTGAAGTATATATTTTTTTCATGTGAGATCGCGGTTATCAGATCATAAACCTATAAATCTGAACTCTGACCATAAAAATTCGGAAACCTTTTTTATACTAGCGTTAGAAAAAATTCAGAAAGTAGTTATTTGACGTTTAAATATATATAGAATAGTCACAAAAAGTCTCACTACCAAGTAAAAAAATATCTAAACTTTACTTATGTAGTCTCATGGTTTGACCATAAATATAAGACGTTGAACTCTGATTGCAAAGATTAGTCAGGATTTGATCGGTCTTTATCGGGAGGAGCTAAAAGTTCAACATAGATTTTTTTTTCTTCAGATAAAAATATCTTAATATCAAATACCAATCTCATGAAGTTAGATCTCTTATTCGACAGCTCAGTGTTGCCTCTACCACCAATAAAAATTTTATATCAAACGCTTTTATTTTACCTGATTTATTAAGTATTGTTTTGATAGTTACCACATAAGAGTTAATGAGAATTGTCGAAAAGTGACCGATATCTTTGGCTACGTTTAAACCTTAACTTTGAAACTTTTTTCAGTGAATGTCTGCTTCAATCAAGTTTTCCCTGAAAATTTGATGATGGTAGCCATCGTTGAAGACAAAACCCATGCCGAGGCTGTCAGAGACAATGGAAATTTCCTCGTACCTCAAAGTTACTGCGGATCGAAGTACCCTGACTGTGATACATTATAGTCGTGCGAATCTTTATTTATGAATAAGAAAATGTGAAGGTTAACACATTTAAATAGTGGAAAATTAGAAAAGTCTTTTTTTGAGCCCTAGGAAAAAAACAGTGTTTTCATTGTAAAACCTTTTTATTAAGATCTATTAAATTTGGGTTGATGCTTACGATCAGAGCTTACTGAACTTTATTTCTAGTCAAAATATCAGACGAAATGACTTTTTAGCGTATAGCAGAATTTCTTGTGACTAATATATTGTCTCGTTTTCTTGGAATATGTTCTGTTTTCCTAGCGTTTCATGTGAAAACCATTAGTGACGTAGTTCTTTTTTTTCTTCTTTAACTACCGTTATACTTGTATTCGTTTCCTTCAACTTATCATTCATGACTGAATGATACTGAGTTTAACAAGTTAGCATTATCATGTGAAAAAGTTTCTTTTTAAACTTAGAACACAGTTTACATTGATGACACGATTTATCCAAATAACTTCTTTTAATAATATAACCTATTTAGTTGAGTTCGAAAAAAATTTACATTCAAAAAAGCATGTATTGTTAGTAGCCTCAAATCGATGTACTATAAACTGATTACAGTGGCATAATAAAGATACATTTATTATTGGAAAGAATTTATTTGAAAGTTATAATCAAACTCATAAAAGCTTGAATTTAGCAAAATATAACAATTCGGAATTTTTTTCTGCCATTTTATGTGAGCTGGAAATGCTGTATAAGATTCAACCTTCTTGTTTCATCTTTATTAACACTATTATCAACTATAGATGAAAACTATTTGCTATGGAATATATTTAAGCTTTGCTATTTTTCCTCTAAAAGTAAACAAATGTCCATAAAGAAAGTATTTATTTCAAAATAATAGGCATATTCTTTTCAAACATACAACAAACACTTATACTCTATTTCAATAAACTATGTAATTATTGAAGACTATTCTTAGTATCAGATCCATCATGAATAATCTATAATCCAATAAAAAAAAAACAATATAATCATTGATTTTAGATGACTTGACTTTTGCATGTCTTCTAGAACATATGTGCTATTAAATAATGATAATCGGGCGTCATGCCGTTGCTTGCACCGGTCGCTATTTTGCTTAATTCTTCCGTGTTATTTGTTTACAAAATTCTTTATGATATCATCCATTTATCTTGCTAATCGAGTTGCATATATATATAGGATGAGAGATTTCTTGCATACATACACACACATCCTAACAATCATATATAACAATACCACAATCCGCATGATCTATTGATCATTCCAAATAAAGATTCGAACATATTTATCATCATTTTTACGGATGTTTATTGTCAAATGGCTCATTTACAACATAGTGTCGTTTTCCTCTTTCTCATTTTACATATAGAAAAAAACCAATCAAAGTTTATATTCAAGACGACTAGACAACAAGCACAGTCGCGTCTTTCTTTCATCGTCTTCTTACAGATAATCTTATTTTGTTTCTGAAACTATCAGCCTAAGGGCTACCGATTGTGTTTGACCCGTAACAAGAATACTTGGTTGCTTACTTTTTCTTGTAATTGGATACAGAGAAGAACACAAATTACTAGATCGTTATATATCCATATCAATATTATTGAATCGAAAAAAAAAAGTAAAGAGAGAAAGGTGCCGACTGTATCCCTAATTCGACATGCCGACAAACGTATGTTTTGTCAGGACGAACAAATCATTATTGTTGCTCACGATTGATAGAAGCCATGAGTCAGTTGCAAAGTGACGATGAGAAATGTATCTATCTATTTCAAACTATCACTTCATAGTTTATACGCCGCGCTTTATTATTTATTGTTCCATTAGAGAGACAGTGTGAAAACAATGAACTATATATATGTATCCTAATTTCTTTCACAAAAAAATCGAACTTTTTCTATTTTGATGATTTAAACATCATTGATTTGTTTGTGTCAAATATTTCAAAAAAGAAAAAGAAAAATTATATACACATCTGATTTTATTCACATTCATTGATGACTTCTTTTCATATAAATCCCTTGTCGATCAAATGATGATGATTTGAATAAATCTTTTTTTCTAAATATTTAGCCGTTTGCCGACTTGAATTTCGTAACGGCGTCGGCATTAATAAAAAAAAAAAAAGTCGAAAGAAACAGCTCATCTTTCGCTTATTAATCAATAACGATCGATATACATTGATGTTTTCAACACGTGTCTTCTTCACAACACATTTATCTTGAGACGAAGTGAGAACAAGTGTTATTTTGACATTCTATCAAGAGAGAAAGCCTATACACACACATATATACATACATATAAATACCTACTAAATTGTTTAGATCAAAAGCTTAAATAAAATGGTTTTTGAAGAGACTGCGAAAAAGAAACAAAAGAAATGTACCACATGTATCCAGCTGGCTTTTTATAAAATTCTCTAATGAAGTGATATATGCGTGGTTGGCAAGCAAAAATAATGACGTTTCGCTTGTCTGCCACTATATCTAAATATCAACAATGAATATAGGAAAAAAACATTGAGAAAGAGAATATAATGATACTGTAAAAGCGGTGTGTCTCTTCAAATGTCATCGAGTCAATTTGCTCTCTCATTTTCTGTGTTGCAAAGTACCGTATGGTTGCTAGTAAATGATATTTGATAGTCTTCATCGCATTATATACTCTCTAGGTTATATATACATATACACATGTATACAAGGGTTTTCAATACAGAGCATCAATATATGTTTTTTGTATCAAAAACTAAGAAAAATTTATTAGATATTGAAATGTTTGTGGTTAATTCGAATAGAATTCTTAGTAATTAACGATAAAAACATAGTTATAGTCTTTTCATGTGAGTTCTTAAATAATGTTTATCATATAAGAAATATTTGTTCATTAAAGAGTTTCTATTGTCAATCATGAATTTAGATTAAATGATTTTCTTTTTATTATTATTCATACAATAAATCAATAATTTCGAAATTATTCAATGCATAATAAAATTATAAATTAATTTTTGTTTTGTACTTTAAGAATTTTCAATCGTTTTCAAACTCGACTAGCAGTTGAGGAGAAAGAGTACTGGAAACGATTACTTCTTCCTTTTGAATTGTTTTTTTTTTCGGTTTGTCATACCAATAAGTCTCGATAAATGAGCTAACTCGATCTCTAATTTGACTTGAAAACACATTTTGTGACTAGGATCACCCACATTTACCAAAATCTTAGATCCACTACTGTCAACTATAATTCATTCTCATATGCATTTATTCGAAATTGCATTAGAGACAGGCTTTTTACAGCTTATACTTTTCTGATAGATTTTTATTATTTTTATCTTATGCATTTTCAATGATACCATTCAACAAATGAAAAGATCAGAGTATTAATAAGTAATGACATGATATTCTCTCTTTTTATTTTCGACTCACTCTTTTCATTCGTTCCTTCTGTTCATTGATTGCTTCTTTCTTTCTTCTCATTTGAATGCTTATTGGTCAAAATATATCTACGGTTGGCTCATCTCTTTTTTCTCTCCTCATGATAAGCTCTGTCAGCGGACAAGAAAAAGAAAAAGCCAACAGCAAAGGAAGAGAGAAAGAGAATCGTTTATGTATCATGTAAGAGAACTAAAACTCTAAATGGTTGATATTCGATAGCCAGCAAAAGAAATAGAACGAAGAGAGAGAGAGCGAGATGGGAAGAAAAAGAGAGAAATAAGTGTTAATGTAAACCTAAAAAAAGATACAAGCTAAAAGAGAGGAAGAGAGTGAGAGAGAGAGAGAGATCGATAGCTCGAATGATAGAGAAGAAAAAGCTACGCTGCAAATATAATTGAAAGCGAGCGGCACTAAGGTGAATTCGAGTGAAACCAAGTGCAACGAAAAAACCGAATCGAACCGTGAACTAAATCGAACCGACACACAAGCACGGGACATCGAGCATAGCCAAAGTAGATCAACCTACCTGCCCTGTCTACATCAACTAGCATACAACGATTGCAATGGGTATGTAAATTGTCTATAGATGAATGACGATTGTATGTGTGAGATAGCGAAAATGTTTCATCAATTTTTTTTCGTATATATATATATATTGCTTCAGTGACACTAGAACATTTATATCTATGCTTACTGAGTTTTGTTTTTTTTTTTTTGTTTGCAAATGTCCACTAAGAGAACAAGAAAAAAAAAAGACAAAGAATAGTAAGAAAAAAAGAGAAATCTATTCTATTTGTTAATCTAGTTTTCAACTATTATTTTAATATTATATTTGATAAGTAAGATGAAGATATCTATCAGTTGAGTTTTTCTATTTCTTTCATCAATATGAAATGTTACTAAATAGACAGAAACATTTGTTTCTAGGTTAGTTGGTATTCTGATGAGTTAATCGTTAAATCTGTTTTTATTTTATTAGAATATGTTTAATGACAATCAAATAATATTTTGACTGTAAGTTATTATGTACTGTTGTATTTAAATAAATATGTTCGCTTAACCAATCCGAATACGATCCGAAGGAAACATTGTCATCATCTCATTAGACTAGAAAATCAGAGATGATCGATGATCAAAATTCATTGTGTATATATATCTCTCTCTCTATATATATAAACACAATCTTGCTAAATGATAATCATCATCTTCGATTCATTTCGGATACATTCAGTTTGTGAAATGAGATGCTCCTACTGTGTATGTGATCGATGATGATGACAACTACGTGCTTTCGAAGAATTTTTATATTGTTGAAGATAAAGCATGAATAGTAAAAAAGGGAAAGAAAATGATGAAAATTTTAATTAGTTTGTGTACCAATATGAAAAAAAAAACAATTTTTTTGCTTGTTTTTCTTTGCAGCTGATTATTTATTTAATGATAGTAGTTCAAGTCAGAGTTATGGAGAAGTTAATCAACTTGGTGGTGTATTTGTCAATGGACGACCATTACCAACACCAATTCGTTTACGTATTGTTGACATGGCTAATGGAGGAGTACGGCCATGTGATATAAGTCGTCGATTAAAAGTATCACATGGATGTGTTAGTAAAATTCTTGCTCGTTATCATGAAACAGGTAAATTTTAGTTTTAATTTAGAAAAAATATTTTTTCTTGTTTTTTTGCTTTGTTGGAGGTTCTGTATTACCAGGTGCTATTGGTGGAAGTAAACCACGTGTAACAACACCACGTGTTGTTGGTCGTATACGTGATTATAAAGTTAAAGATCCCGGAATGTTTGCATGGGAAATACGAGAAAAATTATTATTAGATAATGTATGCGATAAATTTAATGTTCCTTCAGTATCATCGATTTCACGTATTTTACGAAATAAAATTGGTCCATTATCACAACCAAATAATGGAAGTAGTGCAAGTGGAAGTGGAGGAGGTGGAAGTAGTGAACATAGTAATTCAAATTCACCTCCACCAATTTCATCATCATCAACATTAATAAATAAATGTGATCATTCACCAGTTAATATTTCTTCAGTTGTTTCATCATCATCTGAATCAATATGTAAAATTGAACCACCAACATGGTCATCATATGATCAATCGACAGCATCATCATACCATCATCGTTATCTTTATCCAAATGTTGCTTATCATTCACCATTTCAACATCAATTTGAATCGGCTATGAAATCACCATATACAGGAGCAAATCATATTGTATCAAATTCAACAACAAACGGAGATATCTCAAGTGCATTTACACATACTCATCATTATTATCATCAACATCATCATCATCATCCAAACGCAACTGTTAACAATCCTACAAATAATTATACATCATTGTTCAATACATTTCCTTATACACAAACAAGTAATTTTGCTGTTACAGCACCCTATTATCCATCGTCTTATGGCTTACCATTGACACCACAAGCTTCATAAAAAATAAAAGACAGTTTCTTTTTCTTTTTTTTTTTTGACAAAATTTGTGTGTCCGTGTGTTTTTTCCTTTAGAATGTAAAATATATTATAAGTCGAATAACGAAAACATTTATTATTTTATCTTCTGTTCTAGCTAGCAGACATTGATATAGATGTCTATTGTTTTGACGTAAAACGTCTTTCTGAATTTAAACACGTGCATACATATATACATACACCGTTTCATAATCATTGTCCAAGAAGTGTCACAAAGCAAAAAAAGAATATACTGTTTTACAGTCATAATAATCTTTATCAAAATAATTGATTTCGTTTCTCTACTCATTAAGAGAACAATTGTTAATACATTTTTGCGTTGCTTCTGATAAGATTTTTCAATCTGATTGACAGTAGTCTATCATGATTTTTTGTTGTTAATATGATCAGTAGTAAACAGGTGAATGTATATATCTTTTGACTGATAAGTGTGAAAAATTCCATTCATTAATTTCATATATATATATATACGCAGTGATCTATTAGTTTTGGCATCCATATGAATTTTTTCGATTAGAAGACTGATTGTTATTTATAATGGCAAAACGTGTTTTTTTAAAAGGGCAAACATTTATGAGAAGAATGAAAACAATAGTGATATTACGTGATTATTCCTATCGAAGAAACAAAGGTCATCGATCTAATTTACAATTTCATTTGACCATAAATAAAAATTCGACAAAAAAAATTAAGAAATAGTATTAATTTCGCCACCTATCTAAATCATTTTGATACGATATAGATATTTTTATTTCATTTAATTTTTACATATGAATTCAGTTATTTTGGATAAGTTTATTTCATTGCTTCTTATATTATACATATTAGTAAAAAGAGCCAAGAGAGACAAAGAAGAAGAGAAACAAAAATCAATACACACGACAGAAAAAAAGTTGACTTATACTCTGTATATATGTTCATTTATATAGATCAGAGAAAAATTATCGTCGAACTGAAAAACATAAAGAGAAGTTAACTATTGCGATTAATTTTGATGATGTTTACCTTCTACTACAGCTGTATCTGGTACACGTCGTACAATCGTTGCTGTACGTCGTTGAGGTGAAGTATCATCAGGATATCTCTCACGAGTAGTTCGATATCTTGTTGCATAAGATGGTTGACGTACAAGTTCTGATCTGTATTTAAATAAAAAAAAGAAAACAAAAATTTCAAAAACAACAAAATAATTTTTTGATACAAACATGTCTCTATTCGATTCTTGAGAATAATTTTTATTCATTCGACGACTATATGATGAATTTAACTTTAAAATAATGAAATAATGAGATGATTAATTTGAATATAAAAAATTATTTTACTTCTTGTCCTGAAGGATCTTCTTCAACAACAATAACATGTTTATCACCGGGCTGTGTTTGTTGTTCTCTCATAACTTGATCAAGTTTTCTAACAAGTTTTTCATTTTCTCTTGTTAATATTTCATGATCGGTTCGAATTTTTTTTGTTGTTGTACCACTCAATCGATCTCTGACAAATAAAAAAAGAAACTCAAAAACAAAAAGAAATATAAATGTATATTTACTGATTATCTTGACGATTATCATATGTATCAATACTTGCTGAAGAACGCATTGATGTTAGTGAAGCGGACTCTGAACTACGATTTTTAAGTTTAGGTAATGTATTTGTTTGAATGCCTAATTTTTGTCTTAATTCATAATTTTCATCTTTTAATTTTCGTACTTCACGTTTTAAACGATTAATAACATTTTCTTTTGAATCCGTTTTTATTATAGGAGCATTTTCAATATTTTTTGCACGATTAGCATAACGTAATGTACTTAAACTTTCATTTTCACATGAACTTGCTGGAGATATACATGCAATCTTTAATAGAAAAAAAAAATCAAATCAAATTTTTGTTTCTATGTGAAATTTTATTTGTATGAATTATACAAACCATTAAAGTTATTCCATGTCCACCTAAACTATCTGCTAATAGACGTGTTAATTTTGAATCACGATATGGAATATGACCAGCACGTTTAACAGGATCACTTAATGCCGAAATACATGTACCTTTAAGTGATCATGAAATAAATAATAATCGAAAAACTAGAAGATTTTTCTAAGTCTATTTACCAAGTGTAAGTAAACTTTTATTGATATTATTGGTTTCGGTTAGTTGTTTGCCTTTCGAAAGACTTACTTTGACTTTTTCACTTCCTGAATAAAATAAAACAAATTATTTTTTGCTTGCGAGTAAATTCAAAAAAGAAAATTTACCAGCTAAATCAACAAAAACTAATTTTCCTTGTCGAGTCCTTTGTTCTTTAGGATCATCAGTAGCTTGTAAATCTTGTTCAATTTGTATTGAAAGCATTGCATGACTACGACTTGACGTATCATTAAGATTATGTGAAGCCATAGCACGATTTAATTCGCCTAAATTTTTTTTTCATAATCATCATACTATAAAAAAAAAATTTTAATTTCATTCGAACCTTCTTCAAGTATTGTTAATAATTCATCCATAGTTTCAATATATGTTTGAAAGAGATTTTCAACATAGAATCCATCTTCAATTGAACCACGTACTTGTAAACTTTCACTATGTGATGGATTAATTAAATCACGAATCTAATAGAGATTAGTTTTATTAAAAATTTCAATTCATGTATCTATGTTTTTTTTTGTCATACTTGTTCATTATAGATTTCACAATAGGATACACGGATATAATAAGGAGTATTTGTTTCTTGAGCTTTTTCTCGTAATTGTTGAAATAAATAATTAATTGCTCGTGGAACTAAACCAAAGTTTTTTATACGATAATTTTCATCCATACGAAACTATAAAAAACATTATCAAAAATGTTTTACGAAAAAAGAATGGGCAAATACAATGGCAGCGCCTCCAGGACCAATCATGGTATGTGTTTTTCCACTACCAGTTTGACCGTATGCAAAACAAGTTGAAATATATCTACAAAAAATATTTTTCGTAAAAATATCTTTATTTTGAGTAATTTGATATTTGAACTATATACCCTTCAATAGCCATATCGACTAAACGTTTGATGCCACTATAATGAAATACTTCTTCTTGTGTTGATGATACATCAAAAACACTATCAAATGTAAATCGTCGATTATGTTGTGCACCTTCGACCTGTTTAATTCATTTTATACATATTCAAATAAATAACAAAAAAAGCAAACTTACTAAAATAGAATTTTCACCTTCGCACTGTACTACTGATCGATCATTTTTTTCCGTTTCACGATTATTTACTGGTCGAACACTAATTATAGAGCACATATATGAATGTAAGCGAACAATAATTAAATTTTAAAATTCCATACCGAACAATAACACGCACACGATCTTTTTCTGTACTGAGATCTGGAGCTTGTTCATTTCGAAAGACACTAAATAATAGAAAATAAAATAACTATCAACTAATACATAATTTTTTTTTACTAATAATTTCGATGTTTCGATATTACTGAATACTTTTCACCATTTATTAAACTATATGACCGTATAGCACAAGTTGCCATGATAAAATAATGCTATGCAATTTGATAGTAATCGATTATAATCTGAACTGGTCACTTTTTTCTTTGTTCACTATATATTCTTTTTTTTTCTCTTCTCTAACGATAAAGATTCATAAGTGTCTATTGACTTATGAAACAGTAAAACTGCAGTCGCAAAACTAGAACCATACTTCTATTCTTTCTCTTTCTCTCTCTCTGCTCTTTTCTTTGACTTAATGTCTTTCATCATCATATACAACTTTCTAACTATGCATAAGGTAGGTCTTCTTCTCTATTCTTATTATGTTTATGCATACCCACCACCAACATTATAAGAAGACACTTGACTTATGTGTACTTTTAAACATCATATTACTGATAAATCAAATCTTAAGATACCTATCGCCAGTCGATGAACTCTTTTGTCCTAATACCCAGTCAATCACTGATGCATTACTAATATCTGTTTGAAGGCCACGACTAACAGAATTAGGTCCATCATGATGAAGATCGTTGAGATTTTCTATGGATGATGCTTCAAAACTTTCAAATGATGGAACATTTTTAATTGATTTTGAACTTTTTGGTGTTGTATTATTAGCAGAATAAGGTTCAAGAAAACGAACACGAGCAGGAGAGCTACGAGCCGGTGAACCATTTTCAGGTGTATAGGATTCAGTAATTTTTGTTTTTTGATCATCATTATTCATTGGCATTTGTCGACGATTTGGATTCGAAGGTGTTGAAATTGATGGAAGTTCAATTAAAGAATATGTTTCAACTGATGACTTGGACATTTTCTTCTGCTCTTACATCAACAGGAAATGATTTACAATGAAAAAAAAAGAAAGTATTTTCTAATACTTATGGATTTTTTTCTTTGAAACAAGTAAAAAAAGAAAGAAAAATACAATAACAATAATTAATTTCTTCTTATTTTTTCTCGAAAAATTAATTGAGATTTAATTGACATGCACTACTAAATCTGATAGAATCAAAATCGATTCTTTATTATAATGATTGATCAGTTTTATGACATAAATATTGTTTTTGAGTATACTAGATTCTACGCACATAAAGAAAATTATATTTTTTAGTACGCGATTTTACAAATTGCTTGCCTTGTCGATACTTAAGCTATAGCAAAAGCATAAGCTTTTTTTGTCGGAAAAAGAAACGGCGACAGGCTAACTCCTATTCATGATATAAAAAAGAAATTATTTATTATTTATACGCTCGTTAAATTGTTTTTAAAGCCGCATATCTCTTCCTTTGTTTAACGAATCGAAAGCAATATGACCGACGTATTAAAATTTGAATTATTTTCTAGTCTCAACTAATTATGTTTGATTGAAAAAAGATATGAAATATTTCTATCAACTTTAGATTATATAATTTTTAAGAATTTTATTTTTCAAAAAAATCGATGTTTTTTTCTTTTGAAAGATTGTCATTTAATAATAACGTGATGATTAATCAACAACATATTTCACAAATTGACAACGTCTAGAATAAATATGTTGAACTAAATAAGGATTTAAAATAAATTGTTCAGACTTATTGTAATCAATCCGTATGTACAACAGACACAATCAATGCCATTTTCGCAATGATTGCGTGTATGAATACATTTTGTTATTTAAAAAAAAATAGAGTTCTCTATTACGCTTCATAGTTAATGATCGATACATTCATTTCTTATCATTACATCGTGAGGTTTCACTGGATTAATCGATTGAATCTCTTCAAAAAAAATGAAAAGAATGACATAATTCAAGTAAAACAATGAAAAAAACCTCTACACCTTTTCCTTATCACTACAATGTTTCAAAGTATGCAAGAACATCGAATCAACAAAAGTGCTAAAAGAATTATACAATGAAGGACTTATTCTGTATCGAAATTGTACTCATTTTTTTGTCGGGTTTCGTTCTTCTTTTCAAATGATTGTAGGTATTGTTTTCTTAAAACAACCATTATTCTACTCACGTTCGACGAACTGAAGCTGAATTATTATTTGTATATGTTTGATTATATTGTGCTTGTTGATTTTCATATTGATCAGGTTCTTGTACATATTCATAACCATTATTAGGTGTTGTTTTAGAATAATATGGATAATAAACATAGTTATCATATTCATTATCTTGTGCTACTGGTTTTTCTTGTTGCTGTTGTTGGTGATGATAAATTGTCTGCTGAGTACGAGTTCGTTTAGATGAAATTGGCATTTTATCTTTAGTATTCTCTATAGTTTCATTCGATCATCATGTGTATGTGCGTATGTTTCTTTTTTTCTTTACTGCTGCCATAACAAATATATGTATATATATATATATATATATATTTATATTTATATTTGATTCCACAGAGACGAAATATTAAAACAAAGTTCTTTCTCTTTCATTCTTTTCATTTTCAGTTTTTTTTACTTTTGTTCACAGAACTTAATAGCAATATATAAAAAAAAGAAAAAGAAAGAAAGAAAGAAATCGATAAAGAACGAACGAATCAAGCAAAAAAATGAAAAGAGAAATGAGAATATTAGTATTATTTTCAAAAAAAACTCTTCATCTAAAGATCTTCTTGTTGTTGTTTATTAACAAATAAACTTATTCTCACCATACGCATTCATATAGAAGATCAAAAGAGGAATATGAATATATGTCAAATAATAAAAAACATATTCGTCTAGGACAAAAAAAAACAATAAAGAAAAAGAAAGCAATCGGGCTTGGCCGGGGATTGAACCCGGGACCTCTCGCACCCTAAGCGAGAATCATACCACTAGACCACCAAGCCATGCTCTATTTTCCTTTCAAATGTACATATATGATAATACAATTAAAGAATAATAAATTTTTGATTTCTTTTGAAATTCATCATCGTTTCAAACAAGTAAAACAGATCATCGATGAAAATTTTGTTTTAAAAAAAAACGATATTTTTACTTTCTTCTATAAACTAAATCTTCAAAAGTCTATGGCATTAATGAAGAAAAAAAAATACTAGTAACTAATTGTCTTGTTCTCAATATGAAAATTTTATTACAGTTTTCCATAATATATATATTTTACTTACAGTATATTATGATTTTCGTAATAGAAAAGAGCGCTCAAATTTGGAGTAACATATCGTTGCATAACAAATAAATAACGTGCCATTGGATCATTTCGAATACGTTTCACATACTTAATATTTTCAGTAGGCTTTTTATAAAGAATACCTTCTTTCAATAATAATCTTCTACTAACATTTGTCATTATTCTTTTAAGACTGTTTTCTATAATTTGACGATTATGGTTTTTCTTTAATTTTGTTATCAGATGTTCGTCACTTCGTGGTGTTACACATCTTGTGTAAGCGTTGAATCTTTTGAATCTTCACGATAGTGCACTCGACGAAATGGTCGATGACATGGTTTTGGATCCACAGTAGGCATTGCTAATAGTAATAATAACACATACAACTTTCGACTTTTGCTTTTTGTTACTTTGAATTACGTCCTCAATAATAATATTTCAAAACTACAAATAAGAAATACGCTAACAAGATTGTTTTATTCGACATGAAGACCTTTATGAATAATTTTACTGCTTCTTCTGTTTTTTCTAACTTAGAAAAAAAAAAGAAATCTTCTAAAATCAGCTGACTATACGAACGTATTTATTTTGATTTTCTTACCATTTGAACATAAAGAAAAAGAAAAACGAAAATGAAAACTGAATTAACAGTTCATTAAACTGATTGAAGGAAAGGTAAATTAGGGTAAATAAAGATAGAAATACTGTGAATTGTTTGAAAACATAGACATACACACAAACATTTAAAAAAATTACTTGACAAATATGAGGAAAAAACAATAAAAACAACCACTGAGAATATACGACAATATATCAGCATTTTGAATGCAATTATAAATTAACATAGAGATATATATATATGTATATATAACGAAATTATTTAGTGCACTGTTTGATGTCGCTTAGGTACTGGAATTGAGCCGAGTTTACGTCGTAAGGAAACATTTGGTGGTGGTGGTACTGACGGTACTGTTGATGATGATTTTGTTGATACAGTTGATGCTGGTTTTGATGATGGAATAGTAGAAGATGAAGGTGATTTGCTCATTAACGATGATGATGATGATGATGAAGGAGGAGTAGCTGATGGTTCTTTAGGTGAAATTTTTACTTGAGTTTTACGATCACGTAACCAAGCTCGAACATTAAATCGTTTTGGTAATAATGAAGAAGGACGTTGATTTGTTGTTGTTGTTGTCGTTGTCGGTGTTGTTGTTACTGTTGTCGTTGTTGTTCTTGTTGATGAATTTAAATTTGATGAATGAGTATATTTAAGTCGGAATGGTAATGGTGATAATTTTTCTAATTGATTTGTAATACGTTCAAATAGATCATTATCTACATGTACTAGTATAAATGCCCATGATTCATAATATGCTGTAAATATTGAACGATGAGATAAAAAATGTGTTAACCATGCAGCAAGTTCATGAAGACTAAAAGCAATTTTAAAAAAAATAATTTTTGATTTCTAAAACATGTTTGATATTCTTACTTGAGTAAATGATAAATGAATGCATTAAATTTTTCAATCCAATCAACTGTAGATGATAATCCTAATTGTGCCTTAACTTTAGCATCATTAAAACGACCAGTTTTAGGTGTTGTAAAATCAATTAAACGCCATAAATTAATTTTTTTTGAAAATAATGAACCACCATATTGACGAAGACCATCTTCAAGTACTTCACGTAATAAAGGACATAAATCTTGACGAAGTGTTCGATCGAGTTCACGATTAGTTATATTATTTAAATAGTAAGACTGAAAAAGAAAATTACGAAAAAGAAATTTATAATAAGAAAACTAAAAAGAATTATATTATACTTGAGGATCACCACATTTTATTTCCAATATATGAAGAACTGTATTTGCAAAAGCATCAACAAGATATTTATCACTACCATATTTAACCGGTAATGGTTTTGTTATTTCTGATGGTGCATGTTCAGTAAAATTTATTAAATGTGGTTCATTATGATCCTCATGTTCATCATCCGATAAATTAAATTCAGTTGGTGGACTATCTGTTAGACTTTCTCGTGGTACTAAATCACAATAATCTAAAAGAAAAAACAACAAAGAAAAAAAAAATATTCATTTTAATATTTCATTTCTAATCAATACCTCGATCATATCTAAGCGGTATCGTGGGTGGTGGTGTTGGTCGATGTTTAGGACTAGCTGATGGTGTAATAAGTCTTCGTGCAATATCATCACAAAAACTAACACTTTTCTTAGCACGAAGATCATGTTCAGATAATGTACATCCTTTTTGTCGTGTTTGTAATTGTATAGAAAAATTTTGTTGATGTGAAGATACAGTTGGTGCTGAATAACGTCGATGTCGTGGTGTTTCTATGTTATGATCACCGAGTCGAGCAGCTAATGTTCGTGCAGCTAATGTAAATATATCACCAGCAGCTCCAACAGCAAGAACATTGGCTGTTGTAGTTGTTGTTGTAGCTGGTGTTAATGGTGTAGTTGTTAAATCTTCAGTTTTAGCACGTTTTAAACATGATTTAAGTGGATGTGATGATATAGGTGTTTGAATATGACGCGGATGATTTGTCGAACTATTACTAAAATAACCACTACTCGATGTGCTATTTGCACTTGTTGATGTACTTGAACATGTTAATGAAAATGTTGCGTGTTCTTCTTCTTCTTTTATATGATTATCAACATTTGATGGAACAGATGGACTAAGTGGTAAGGCACGAAGTGGACTATTACCCATTAATGTTGGACTTGTTTTAATACTTTTAATACGTTTAATTTCTTTAAGTGTTCGTGGTCGTTGTATTGTTGATATAGATGGATGAAGTGTTGTAGGTCGCATGGGAACACATGATGATGAGGAAAAGGATACAGATGGTACTTTAATACTACAATAAAATACCGTACGTGTAGCTTTTTTTGTTAATGATGACGGTTCAGATAATGTGCTTTTCAGTCGTGAACAATAATGTTTTGTTTGATTTATTGATTTTGATGGTGGTAGTTGTGGTGGAGCTGGATTTTCTTTTGCATAATATGTTAGAAAACTAAGATCAGGCAAAGATGATATTGTTGGCAATGATCTATGAGATGTTGATGGTTGACTAGGATTATTTGAATTCGAATTTTTAATATCATTATTCAAAGAACGATCAACACTTTTCGAACGAATAACTGATATATTATTTGTTTGTAAACAATGATTGTCTGTATTTAGAGGCCGAGAAATCGAACGTGGGATATAACGACGTGTTGATGATGGTTGACATGAAGGAGTATTGTCAATATGTATAGATGTTTGAAGACATTGATCAACACTACGACGAGGTATAACGGCTTGATTAGAAGCTAGAATAAAAAAAAAGAAAAAGGAAACCGATCAGATAATGATCAATCCAATGTCTCTAATAGATAGTAGAGATGATGTTTGTTCACTTTAAAAAAAAAGGATTTCATGATAAATAATCATTTGATCCTTCACTTTTTTTAACTATCAAATTTCATTTAAAACTTACCCTTGAATTGTTCTTTACTTTCTGTTGATAACTGTTCCGTGGATGAAAGAAAATCATTATGACTATTTGATTTATTTAATTTTATTTGTGAAAATGTTGTTGGACTTAATAATTTAAATCTTGGCATTGGTATTTTATGTTCTTTTTTATTTGATTCATTTAATTTATTTATATTTGAACATGATGATGATGATGTTAATGAATCACACATACTTTTATCACTAAAATTTTGATATAGACGACATGGATGTTGTTGAGATCTTGTACGTTGAAATAAACGATATAATGTTAGTGGACTACGTGAACGATGTTCACTACCATCAGATGTATTTGCGGATGATGAGCAACTTCGATGAATAGATTTTGATTTGATAGCATGCCATGATGTACGTGGAGGATCAGATGATGATGTTGTATCATCACCTTCAACATCGGCATCATCTTCTGTATCACCTTCGCCACCATTAATACCTGAACTTAAACGCATTGACCATTCCGAAAGACTTGTTGCTTGACATGTCGGTGGAATATCATGTTGATCTTGTTCAAATGCAAGATGATGATAATTACGATCTTCATATAAATCCCAATGAAAACCTTCATATTGACTATCACGAATTGGTGGTGCTGTTTTACGACAATAACTTCCATATGATGAAAATATTGATCGATGACCACTGAGCCAAAGTTCATCATCATCTGGACTATCAACAGACATTTCATATTCTGGTGCTTGTTGTTCTTGTAATTGTTTTTCCATTGGTGAATGAACGTTTTTTAAATGACCATCAATTGAATCAAGTAATTGAGAAACTAATGTTGTTCCACAATTCTGATTTAACATAGACCCAACTAAGAGAAAGAAAGGAAAAAAAGAAAAAGAAAAATTTAAGAAATTGTATTTATCAATGAATAAACATGATTGTATTGCTACCTCATCGTTGACCTCAACGATATACTATAACTGATTGATATTACTTATACATTCATCGGACAAATGAATAAAATGAAAGACAGACACTAGACATACATCCTTTCTTTCTTGTCGAGTTTCTTTTCTTCTCACACTGTGCGTGTTAATGATGATAAGCTTGCCAACTACCATTCGAAATAAAAAAGAAAATTGATAAACGAAAGAGAATGAAAATTTTGTTGTGGATGATGATGAGATGGTAATAGTATGTACTGCTTTTTTTCAAGCTGTCTCGACAAGAAAAGAAAGAGCCTATCGTTATCGACAACAATGTATCCTATTAGGGAAGCTAGTACGCTTATAAAGAAGGGAAGAAAAGCGCAAAAGCAACAGCGAGAATAAGAAGGATGGGTAGTATATGATTTAGAATGGAAAAATGATGAGAGAAAAATTGAAACAGCACTCATATATCTATACACAAAAAAAGACATTAGAACTCATCTTCTATACTTCATTGATTAAAATCAAGAATCTGACACTCTTCATTTATTGTTATACAGTAAGAAATAAAAAAAGAACTTACTCTATGTTAGGATTATATACGCAATGTATAATTTGACTTCGTTCTTTTCTCATCAATAAAGATAGATGTAAAGGTCGCATACACAAGTGATGATAGGAAGTAAAGACAAGCATGCAAGGCTTCGATAGTGCCATCATAGTTCTCTTCTGTAGCAAATAATTGAGAGGAAGAAAGGCTGGTCTGAATGCGACAAGAATTAATGCTAAACATGCAGATGTTTTCTCAAATGGTTATTTGAATGTTTTCATTTTCTGTATAGATAGATCTGATTGTTATGGTCTAATCTTGAAATACATCACTAATCATATAGAATAACCATGAAAAGAAAAAAAAACTAAGATACAAGAAAATAATTTTTCTATTCTTTTAGCTGTACCCACTCCAATGTTGATAGAAGGACAAGATTAAATTGATTTTTCTAGATATGAAACTTCACACTTGAACAAAATATTCAGATCAATTTCATAATATATACCTTCATTTTTATATGTATAAAATGATATGATATAAACACATAGTGTTCAATCTTTTTTTCTTTTGGTATTACTTCTCTTTCACATTAACCGTCATCATACTACTGTATCATCGTAACCCTCACTATACATATATATGCTTTCTTATGATAGATAAATCATGTTCGCTTACTCAAGAGCGTACGAGCATTCGTTCGCTCATACTTTATTCATATCTTATTCCGATACTTTTACTTTTCTTTCCTTTTTGCAAGAGTCAAAGAGCTATCATGTGTATGAAGGAGATGAACGGCCTCCAACTTTTTCCACTCATACGCCTTTACTCCTTGTCTTTTTTTTTCTTCTTTTTCTTTTTGATGCGTGTTACATGTATACGTTATCGTTAGAAGAACAATTTCAAGCCTTTTTATTCTCTGCCTCTTTTTTTTACAGACCTATGATTAGAAGACCTTCATTTAGAAGTATATTTATTAAAAAGGTCTCATCTCAAAAGTATTCACATTCCTTGGCTTAAACTTTCTCGTTTTAATTGACTAATCTCAATTGACGAAAAAGCGAACAGCTGCCTAATTCAATGATGATATGTCTATGAAGAGTGTGTCCGATGAGAGGACTTACCTACATTTATTTTTTTGTTACGCGGATGATAATTAACACAAAGAAAAAAAAGCAAAAGCTATCAATATACTAAGCACCTGATACTGTCAGATTACACAACAGAGTATATTTGTTTAAATAGAAGAAGAAGAAAAAAAGGCAAAAGAAGGAACTTACTGATTGTTGTTTGCTGACCAATCCGAATAACATAACACTTATGCGTTGCACCTTGGTTTATTTCGTCTTCGATTACGCACAAAAAATAACAATTAAGTAGAAAACTAGAAAATATCTGCTGTTTCTATATATAAATGTGTGGATTTATCTTCGCTTGTTATTTCTTCGGGTAGCAAATAATGATAGTATGATGAGGAATTTGGGTTGCGTATGTTACACTCGTCATGCACAATAACAGAAAGTAGGGGCAAAAGGAAAAAAAAAAGGAAAAACGAGAAAGAAAAGGCATCGACGTCTATATTTTTTCTTCTACATCGTCTTCTTTTTTTCCTCTCTTTCCTCAATTTCGGGCACTGGTAACACGCCAGTAACGCCTTAGCTGCCTGATTTAGTCTACAGACAACCCGTTGTTTGTTCTCTTTTCTTTTTTTTTCATCGTTTGTTTCTTGTTCTTCTGTGTTGCTTGCAAAGAAGCTATCTCGACCAGTTTTTCCTTATTTTTTTTCTTTTCTTCTTCTTCTTCTATATTAGAGTTAGATCGAGTGTCCGCCAACACGTCTTGCCTACTATAGTACGAGCTTTTTCTTGGCTTGTCTGTCAAAAATGATGATGAAAATAGCGGCGAATAGTGTTGTTCAAACGTTCTTCTTTTTTCTTCTCTAGTTTCAGTTTTCTCGTTGCTCAATAATGTTATTTCAGAAAAGAAAGTTCTCGAAAGAGAACGAACGAATATAAATTGTTCTACAGTAAACAATTGGGAAATAAAAATGATTTGGTCATTACTATTATTATTTCTTAAATAATAAATATATTCTTCTTTTACATTATTAGTCGAAAGACTAACACTTTTTATTTGAACAATCTTCATACAAAGTCAATGAACAACTATTTCCATCTTCACATTCATAACTAATATGTCATAGTGATAGGATAAAAAGATAAGAATAACTGTGATGTAAAAAAATGTTTATTCTTATCAGCTAAAACCTTGGAATAATTTCTCCCAGCCGTTGAGATGATGGTCTTACTTGAATGATTCCGAAGATTTATCGTTAACATGTTTATATATACAAATGTGAACGTGTGTATATGTATGCGTATATGTCAAATGAATACAATTGTAATGTTGTATGATATCGAGTATTAATTCTTTTCTTGTCGTCCACCGTGGGCAGAGACCTTGCATTCAACTTGACCTCATTTCTTTGTCACTCAATGCAGTACGTACACCCACTGTGTTAATCAAGCAGCAGTAGTAGTAACAGAATAGACCATTGACGCGAATAGGGCAGTTGAACTTTTACACACATGAAAAGAAATGAGAGAGGCCCAAATAGAGAAGCAAAGAGAGAGAGAGAGCGAGAGAGAGAGAAATATATATATTTTTATTCGACTCTCATAAGTAATATGGAATGGAGACATTTGTCGCGTGAGACAATACGGACAATACTCGTTTCATCTATGTCAATTTTAAAAATTGCTATCGGTGTTAGACTAGACAGACACTCGGCTCTCAAGTGAGATAGACATCGATCAAATATTGACATTTATTTTCACGGAATTCTATGCATAGGAAGACACAATGTAGCATATTCATTGTCTTATTAAATATCATTGATATAAATATAAATAATAAAATAATATAATATAAAATAAAGAAAAAAGAATAATTATGGAACAACAACAGTCCTCGAATCACCACCGTTCAGATTGTATTTTACACGAAGTTGATCGCGTGCTTCATTATGTTGTTGACGAATTTCGTCAAATTGACGTCGACTTTCAGTAAACTCTTGATTTCTTGCTGCTTCCTCTCTGGTGATTGCTTTTTGTCGTGACCATCTTGCACATTGATCACATTTTTGACAAAGACAAACAATCTAAATATTAGTTAAATAAAAATAAACATTTAATAAAATTTTATTCTTTACCAAAATAGTCAAAAGAACAAGAACTATAACCACAGCAATAACTGCTAATACAACAATAACAGTTGTACTAAGAACAACCATCGTCAAAATTTAATAAAAATAAAAATAATCTTTAATGATGAAATATATATTAATTTTAATAAGAAATAATCATCTTCATTTGCTAACACTATATGAAGAAACTACGTTTATATGTTAAATTAAGAATGTTGTTTATGAATAGAATATGAATTAGTTTAGCAATAATTAATATTATTATAAATATTTTAAGTAATAAGTTGATTCCATATAAATATCACGTCTAAACAAGATGCCTCAAGTTTTTTCGTCTTTTTATATAAAGAATAGGAAAAGTGCAAGGTTATCAATGATTCATCGTCCAATAACAAAAAAGAAAAGAAATTAGTAATGTGAAGAATAAGAAAAACCTCCTCATCAAAATCTATTTTTGTCTATATGATTAAATTTAATATTATCAGATAATTTCTATAAGACTAAAAGATTGAAAATATAATTAAAAAATTACGATCAATAATCGTTTTTGTACTTTGTAAATACTTATCTTACTACAATGCTTGCATTCAAAGGTTTTTATCGAAAACAAACCGAAACTAGTGATTATACGCATCTTTGGACATTGTCGTGATGATATTTTTTTCTTTTATATACCAATCGAAAAAAATCTACCTGACATATTAAACTATCTCACAATTTCTGCATGATTGATTTTTCTCGTCTACTTTATTCTTTGATGTGTCACAAAAAAACAAATCAAATATAAGAATGGATGGAAAAAGGCAGAAAGGAAAAATGTCGAAAACAAGAATATGAGATGAAAATGAACATGTAACATAGGAGGTGGGGGTAAGAAAGATTTCTACTTCAACATACTCTCGTTTTCAGCATTTCTATTCATCTACATTTGTAATATTTTTGCTTTCTGCCTTCTTCCACCATATCAAATATAATATTCATATCTTCTATTTATTGTAACAAAAACATTGCTCATATACATCAACACTGTGTATGAATTTATGAATCATCAATATATCTTGCATTACTCAATTCACAATAAGAACACCAAGGAAAGAAAAGAAAAAAGAGTCATTATACATTTATAAGACAGAAAAAAAAAATAAACAAAATAATACAGTCTAATTATTATTAAGTATTCTAATCACCACTGTACCATCAATATTTGGTAGAGGAATGTCAAAATCTTCAACTTTTTCATTAATAAATTGTGTATCACCACCAAGCCAATTTTCATTTGTAGCACGATGTTTAACAAAATAATCAAACAAAGTATTAGAATTGATATTATTACGTTGATTTGTTGATGATGTATGTAAACGTGGAAGAATATCGTTTAATGTAATAGAATCAGATGGTACAGCTACTTGAATAACAAATGGTGTATCACTACCAGGTAGAAAATAAGCTACACGAGTTTTTTTTATTGACGCAGCTAAAACCAAAAAGAAAAATAAAATAAAATAAAATATAAAATAAAAATTCAGTTTTTTCTTTACGAACATTCCATTCGAACACTTCGATTATGATGATGATGTAATTTTGTTTTTGTTTGTAATGATAATGATGATGAATGAAGTTTGCGTGAACGTTTAAGTTCATTTTCATTTTGGTAACTACTAGAATTATTTCCAAGTGTTGATGTTGATTTAATTTGTGCATGATTTTTTGAAAATTTTCCACGTCGATATTCATTCCATATACGTGAATTAAGAAATTGTCGAAATATATCTGTTTGATTTTCAACATAAATAAGAAGATCATCTAAGACACCATCAAAAAAATGTTCAGTAAATTGTTTATGACGATAATTATCACGTAATTCTATACGTCGTTGTGTTGGTAACCATGGTAAAATTGATTCGTTTTCAATATAAGTTTTATATGCAGCTCGTCCAATATCATGTAATTGATTTAAATCATCTTTTTTTTCATTAAGTACAAGTACAATAGCATAAACATCACCAAGTGCTGCTGTTTGTGGTGAACTCATAAGATATTCAACAAATAATTCGGCTGTTTCACGATTTGATACAATTTCATGTACAGATATTGTTCGTGATAATTGGGATGTATTATTTGCTGGAACACGATGAACAGTAGCTAATGATGAACGATGTGAACATTCCGTATCGCTGAAAGACATGTTATCGTTTTCTTCTTGAGAAAATTTCAAATCTACGTAGAAATTGATCTAGACACACGTACAAACACAAAGACGATCAAATTGTATCGAGATTGTTTAAAGAAACGAATGAAAAAAGGAAAGGTTAGGCTTGCCTTGTTTCGTTAGATGTTTATACATCTAACTTTTTTTCTTTCTTTTTTTTCGTTTCTGTTCAATTCATTTTTCTTCTCGTCCATTTGCAACATCGCCGATCGTGTCAAGACAATTTCAGCTGGAGAAAAGAAAAATTTGAAAAAAAAAATATATATATTTCTGTAACGTATATACATCATAGGTTTAATCTGTCTGTTTCTTTGAAGACGATCAAAGCAATGCCGATAATAGTTGTTCGATAGAAAAACAACACACCATTGCATACATATGTATATAATTGGATAGTCGCATCAAATAAGGAATGAATGGCGGTGCGCATCATACTTAATAGTTAGAAAAAGCATATATGTGTGAAAAACGCTAATCGCTGACCGCATTCAATGATATTAAGTTACCGAAAAATATTTTAAGAATTTTTTGCTTAGAAAATTTCCTGATGAAAAGGTACTTCTTCAGATCAGCGACACTCATACTCTTTGATATCTTCATTACCGACACTTTTTAATGTGTTCTGTCAATTACATTAATATCATTGGTTTGGAGAAAAAAATCGAGGTTGCCGCGACGCGAGCCGAATTTCTGACAGAAACATTTGAGTCCTTCACAGCATTGGGAACGATCAATTATTAAGATTATAAAAATATGTCTCTTTTACGCTTTTGGTGAAGTTCAGTCTATTCTGGAAATTTGTTGTTTTGCTTTTGCTACTAGATAAATTGATTCATTTTCTTTTATGTAAATGATAAAAGACACGCAGATATATTGAACCGTCTAGTCACAATACATCGTTTTTTTTTAGAAATAATTATTGTAAAGAACTTTGATTATTCTTTAATTAAATTTTTTTATCATAAGCATAAAACAATCATATTGGTGTGTGACAACATTTTTTGTCGCATAAGATATTTTCTTAGAAAGAATTTGTAAATGAACGAAATAAAACCGAATTAAATTAAACATCAAGAGAATTTCATTAAATATGTTAATAATGGGCAAAGATAATTCAATTTTCTTTGAAGTTCTTTTTATTCCAATTCAACAATATGTTTACAAAAATTGTTGACAATAACAAAATCAAAAAAAAAAAGAAACAATTTTTTTTTTGTATGATTTAGTATGGTTTTCTATTATTTGACTTTTTCTTTGACTTTGTTTGTTGTTGATTCTCATTGGAATGATTTATTGATGATGATGAGTGCCATTGAATCAATTGTCCGTCATCACCACATGAATAAAGTGTAGAACGATAAGTTACTGCTGCACGTAATGTTTCAGAATGAGGTGAATCAAGTGGGAAAATAGTGGGTTGGGATTCATTAGATGAAACTAATGTGATATTCATTTTCCCCATGTGATCACACATTAGTAATGGCCAACATGATTGTGTATCTTGTGTAACAGATGGTAACAAGTCTTTTATATTACAATCGGAAAGTATATCGACGATAGTTGCATGTGACGAAGAAAGATGATGAATAACTGTTGAAGGTTTCAATGATGTATTCATTGTTTCAGAATGAACTTCGGATGCTAGTAAATCATTATCTGTATCACCTTGTACAAGTAATTGTTGATTATCATCGGTTGTTGACCAAATAAAGAAAGCATTTGATGCTGTTGTTGCATATATTGTATTATATTGAGCAAAACCACATTTTGCAACAGGCCCATTTGCATTGTAAACCTAGAGAAAAAAATTTTCTTAATCATTCCTTTTTTTTCCAGTGTTTTGTTTTTTTTTTGTCATGGTTCCATAACGCTTGTCGACTTATTCTATGAAAATTCTGTTTTTGAGTTCTTTATCTGATGTTTGTCTACTAAAAATTAGAGTTAAAGAAATTAGAGAAACTTAAAATAGTAGAAATACCCTTAAAGAATCAAGTTTTAGTAATCTCAATTGTTCTTAGAGAAAAACATTATTTGTACTTTTTGAAGAATATTTTTGAGAAAATCGATTTTTTTTTCGATACGATAATGAAATTCTACAAATACTTGTTTCTATTCTAAGATTTTAGCCGTTAGCGTTTCAATTCTGACAGAAATGAATATCTGACTATTTGGCAAGTAAAATAAAAAAGATAAATTCGACTAAACTCTGACGTTGTCGAGACTTGATGCATATTACTTATTTTATTTTTTATAAGTTTTTTTCATTTTTTTCCTAACCTAGTTTTCGCTTATCGTCGGAATATAACAACAACAGCATTTTCATAGATTAACTCAACAAGCTCTATTCAATCATGGTAACAAAAAAAAAAAAGACTAAAAACGTTTTGCTCAATATTTCGAATTTTTAGTACTTTAAATAAATACCTGTTCAAGTGCATCATCTTCATTTGATTTCGATACATCATATAGACAAACAAGACCATCTGTTGAACCACTTATTAATTTAGTTGAATTCATTCGAGAGAATTTCACTTGAATAATATCATCCGAATGAGATTCTGTATAATATCCTAATAATTGTTTATTTATTGGTGCTCGTATATCCCAAAAAGCAATAGCAACATTTTCATCACCTTTCAATTCAGTGCCAGCAGCAACTAATTGATCTTCATTGTTACATGTTACTGATAGAAATTCATGTGTATCAGCACAACCATTGAATTGAATAGTTTCTAATTGTGGCGTTCTTGTATCCCAGACGAGAACTAAATTTTTATTAGTCGAAGCAAATAATGTATACGGTGAAATATAAGCATATTGAATAGAATGAATTTTTATTGAAGATGAAGAATTATTATGATCAAAATTATTTGTAGTTGATGACAAAGATGATAAAGGTTTTAATGTTGATGCATCAAATAATTGAATCGTACTTGGAATAGTAAGTACAGCAATATGATTATTAGCACTATTTAAAGTAAGATCAATAGCATAACAATCATTTGTTTCAGTTGAAGATCGTACGGAACTTTTATTTGTATAAATAAGTGATTTTGACGATGAAGATAAATCTGATATTATTGGCTTGACTTTCATATCTGAAATGTACCTAATAGTATATTCATTTTTTTGCCATTTGTAGAACTTGTCATTTAAATGCAAAACTCAAAATATTCGATTTAAAGTTTTTTTCTTTTATCAACATATTTGTTTTCATTATTTTTTAAGTCTATATTAAATGAAATCATCCATCATGAAGTTTATTCTTTGAATCTTTTTGAATTTTTGTTAAATCGAACAATAACAACAACAATACATTAATAGAAAAAGAAAAACAACACAGAAGAAACACTTTTCTGATATTATAGTCTATCGATATATTTTATTTTTGTTTTTAAACTCTTAATAAACATGAACCATTCCATAGAGAAATGTCCAAAAGAGTACGTAAGTAAGTAGACCGTTAAAAAATCCATTAACAAAAACATGATTTAAGCCAGTAAAAAACTTGCGATGTTCATTTCGAATAAACATAAATATAACTACCGATAAAAGAAACATTGAGAAACCATAAAAAAGAAAACCTTTATATGATGTAAGACCAATTATACCAGCAACACAACCCGATAATGCACTAACAGATGTACGACATTGTTCTAGACTATTTTCATTAAAACGAACAGCTGCATCACTATACAAAATGGATTCATGTTTTCGTTTATCATTACCAATAGATGGTACTGATGTACCCGTTGATGATGCACCTGTTTGACCTATTGGACGAAAACCTGCTGTACGACGAATTTGCATTTCACTACTTGCTGACATTGTTTTATTTTTCTGATTGAGCAAAACCAATGACGACTAAAAGAAAAAAAAAATCACAAAAAAAACAACTTAATTAATTCATTGTTGTTTTTACTTACTAAAAAAATTTAATATCAGAATTTATAATTAATATACATCTAGGAAGAAAATAAAATAAAATGAAAGGAGAACCAAAACCAAAGTTTTATGTCATGAATGATAACATCGTTGTTTTTTTTAACGATAATAAACAATCGATATTTCTTGACTTTTAATATAAAAAAAAATGAAAAAGAAAAGAAACAATGAAGCTAGAGTCATTATTTGTCTATATTTTGAACATCCAATCAAATAGTTTCACGTTTGTATAAATAAAGGTAAGCTAAATCTTTTGGTGGATGTTCAGAGAATGCAACAACTTCATCATTAAATATAACCCAACGATTATCTTTAAGAATATGTGCCACATAATGACCCGATGATGGATGATTACCAATATGTGATATAAAAGCCACAAGACGATATTTACCAGTACCGTCACGATAAGTTTGCTTGGTTTGTTGGGTAGATGATGATTGAGGTAATGATTCAACTAATGCATTTAAAGTCGAATTATCTTCAGGTGTATTAAAAGCCCAATCAACTGCTGCTTCAACATTATTATTCATTAATGATAATGCACGAAGAGCATGAGCACGCGAAAAACCCATTGACATAACGATGCCGATACTTTCTTCATCCACCTATTATGTTTAAATAGAAAAAACAAAAGATTGAATTTTGTGAAATACAATCTTGAAGAAATGTTGAAGTATATAGGCTAGAAATTTGTCCCCTTTTGTCTATTATTAGACAGCAGGTAAATTATAGAAAGTGTACTTTTCGATAGCTTAAATAGAGCTACATATACAATGGCTTATATGTTATGTATTAACATAAAAGTATTTGTTCTTCTTGTCAGCATTAGTCAAAAAAACACTTAGTTAGAATTTTAGAGCTTTTTGCACTGTGAGCAAGAAAGAGAAGGCACTACGAAGAAAATCATATATAATCTGAAATTGTGTCTTTCACTCTATCGATGCGTAAGAAAAGCATTACTTTAATTTGGTTAAGATGGGAAAAAATTCATTGTTTTTTACATCGAGTATTTTTATGGAAATATGTGTGCAGTATAATGAGCTTGCACAATTTTTTACAACTTCAATTATATGAGTATTGGACAAGCAATAAAGCAACATTAAGTAGAAAGTAAGCTCTGTCTAAATTTAAAGAATCACATGTTCATGTGGTCTATAGAAGAATCGCTACTGTGCTTCGTTCACAAACCATGACAGACGGAGTGGACAAACTATCAGAGTCACGTTAGAAATGATTTCTCACAGAGATGACAAACATCTTTAGCAACGTCTCTTTTTCATCATCGATTGTATATCAATCACATCTGATTAAACTACTTCCTCATTGCATTTTTGGAGGGTGAAGAAATACAATGGGAGAAAAAGCACACATCTTTCAACTTCTTTGTACTTCTTCATACTTTTTTGCAATTCATCGTACTACTTCACAGTTCTTGACATACATATTTCCTGGTATATAGTTTTGAAGATGTCCTTTTCTCAAGAGATAAAAGAGAAATATAACCAATTTCTCTTTATCATATAGATTTACATTTAAAAGAAAATAATGCCAGAAAAACTTCCAGTAGAAGATGTAGTACCAGTTCTCTTTTTACTATTATTTTTTTGCAATAATATGTTGAAAGAGAAATACGTCATGTTATTTCTCTTGCGCATAATAGCGAAGAGAAAACATGCGTAAAACGAGCATTGGTGCTTATTTCAAGTATGATAATACTAAAAGAAATATGCTGCATATATAATAATATTCATGAAAAAATAACAATATTAGTGCATGATAATATAAAAGTAACATACGAGATGAATCGAAATAATCGACCATTGATAGAAATTATACAAAACTTAAACAAAATAGAGATTTTCTGATATATATATATTTCTGTCTTTTTTTAACCGACAACAATATATTTGATACTGTTTATTTTCTTATAATTTTCTTTATTGTTACTTTTTCATAAATATTATTGAACTAATAAAAATTGTTTCATCTTCTTGTAGAAATTTCTATACTACGCAGCAATTCAGAAGAAGAAGAATAGCTATATCATGTTGCAAATTTTAGTCCTACATGGATGGTACTGACAGCTGTTCTAATCTGTAAGAGAAGATAACTTACAGGTGGTGTTTGCGTTTGTTCAACACGAGCTTTTTTACTTGGTGCTTGGTATGGTGTGTCAAAATCTGGATCCGATTGATGTTCAAATACCCAATTCATAGCTGCTTCAATATCATTATTACCCGTATTGATTAATGCGCGTTTACAACCTTCCATTGAAAAACCCATATCAACAAGTTGTTGTAAAAGAACTTCATTAACAGAAACAGAGGATGGTCCTGTTGGTTCATCATCTAAATAATAGAAGAATTTGTTTTTTTTTTTAAAGTAAACAATAAAGAATTTTCGTTTTACCATCAACCATTACTATTTCACCAGGTTGAACGCCCTTTGCACGCAATGAACTAAGATCAAGTTCATCAGGTACTTCCATTGAAACATCAATTTTTCTTGGTGTCCAATCAGGATTAAATGTATATTTTTTTAATTGAATAAAAAGATAATCAGGAAAAGTTAAAAATTTTTGTGTTTTTCTTATTGTTGTAGTACGTCCATATTGTGGTAGTTTATAATCATGAATTTCTTCTGGTGCAGCCCATTGTGATATAGCTTCTTTAAGTGGTATAATTGGACGTACAACTGGTAAATCATTTAATTTTTTGCCTTGTTTTTCCATATCTTCTTTTGTTTTATTATATTGTAGTACTTCATGCATATTTCTTGCTGCTGACAATGGTACACTTAATCTAAACATTGAATCATTACGTGTTAAATATCGTACTTGATTTGTTTCAGGCAAGTAAATACGTTCTTCAAGTTCAAACTGAAAACAAGTACTTGGATCAAGTGATGGATTTGGTGTTGGATCTTTTTTACAATGATTATGTACTTGTTCAATATAATATTGAAGAAATTCAGCAGCATCTTGCTGTTGTTTTGTACCAAAATCCGGATGATTACGTCCAATTAATAAACGAAACATTTGTGGACGAATACCTGATGGTGCTTGTAATGATATATCATTATTAACTGGAAGTTCTTTTGAATAACGACCAGATAAAAGACCAAATGCTAACTTAGCTGTTTGTGCATTAAAATCATTTGCTGGATCTTTAGCTTTATCAAAATAAAAATCACAATGTTGATAATATTTTTCTTGAAAATCTTTTAAAGTAAATAAAACTTGTATTACAGAATTCATATAACATGAGTTGCCTAAATTTCTCATTCCCGTATAACCTAAAAATAATAAATAATTATTAAAAATAAAATTATAATTTTCTCTACCTGGTCCATGTACAGGTTGTAACTTTGAATTAGCTTCTTCAATCATAGATGCTTCACCATATTTTTGATTCAATTCAATTTCTAAATCAGCCATTGATCTATCGCTTTTTTCCATTTTAAGCATATTTATTCCCCAATGTGATAGATGAATAGCAAGATTTGGATCTTCAACCATATCATCTTCATCATAAGAATAAACATCAGCACCTTTAGCTGTAATTGTTCCTAAAAATAACATGATGTTAAAAACTTCCAAAACAAAAATTTGAAGAATCCATACGATCGATCGATAAGCTATGTCTAAGAAAAGGGGAGAAAGGAAAAGTCACTAAAAATATTTCTATTTAGCTACATTCAAGACTAGCCATATACGAAACCAACTTTACTCTCGGTGGCCGAGACGAATATTCGAAGGTTCGCACATTTCTACTCAAGACTTAATGATTTTAAATTGAGTTATTAGACTTTAGTTTTCTTTCTGTAAACTAAAATATGTTCTAAACTTTCAAAAACACGTCAAGTATGATGGTTTTACGCATTGTACGTAAGCGAATTCATTTATTTCTAGCTACAAATAGCTACTTTTTTTTTGAAATATCACTTTTCATATAATTTATTATTCTTAAACCAAGAAACTACATAGACAGATTATCGAACATTAATTTGACGAAATCTTCGTTCATTTTTCAGTTTATGAAAGTTTGACAATACTGAGTTAGTATCAGAATTTTGTATTTTTCGCTAAGATAACTTCAAAATTTTTGTAGAATTTCTAGTTTATAACAAGACCTGTAAACTGAATTTGGACGAGCTGCAGCACGCCAAATCTTATCAAAAATAGAAGTCAAAAATTACATCAGATGCAGAAAATGAAAGAATAAACATTTCTCTAACAATGATTAGTGTGCTGCAAGTCCCTTGCCAACAGGGAATATTTTGTTAAGATATACCATGTCAATTTAGACAACTTTTTCAACGTCTATGAAAAAAGACTTACAAAATGATTTTAGTCGTTCCAAAATGAATTTTTTTTTTGAAACTTTTGATTTTTATATAACTTTGTAGAGAACAATCGTACTTTTAATTTTATGCGAAAAAAACTTAATAATCCAACTTATAAAGCAAAACACTCTATCGCTACAAAGAAAAACATTCATTGTCTCCGTTCAAAATTAATTTTCACGTCTCTAAACGGGTCGACTCATAATTCCTAAATCAGAAATCTTAGAGATTTGTTTAAGCTATATTTGGAAACAATACAAAAGTCAATGTTTTAAAATTGCTACAATCTCTTTTAAGAGTCTGAAAAACGAATGTACATTTTATCAAAATACTTTTCGATCATTCAATATATATCAATATCAATTATAGCCTAATGTGTAATAAATGAACGAACTAACTTTATCAAGAGTGTAAAATATATTCAAAACATAAAATTTGATTCAAAATAACATATTGAAACTTGAAATAACTAACCGAGTTTGACAGCTAATGGATATTTTGTTTTATAATAATGTTCAGCAGCATGATTATTTCCACCGGTACCATCAAAAAATTTTCTTCCACATAAAATTGATCCATCAGTTAAATTAAGCCATAAATTTTCTGTTAAATCACATTGATCACATTTCCAACCATTTGGTGGAATTTTTCGATCATTATGTAATTGGTTTAATGTTTGAGTATGTTTTGTTACATGACGAATTTCTCCATTCCATGTTGCATTCATAAGTGAACGTTCTTCTTTTAAAAATGCTGAATCAGCAGCTATAATAGCATCAGCTGATTTTTTAACATGTTCAGGTAATTGATTAGATTCATCTGGATAATGAATAGTTATATTTGGATGAATATAAATTGAATATTGTTCTTCAAATGTAAATCGATTTGACTGATTTACATCAAAACCACCTTCAACACCAATGGCTAATTTTGTTACTTTAGTTGGTTCAATGTTAGCATCGACTGGTATTGGTTTTCGTTTTCGTACAATATGTAAAAAAACATTTTTTCCTGGATTATTATTACAATGTCGTTCAAGATGATCTTTTCCAAGTCCACGAAATGTTGACATACAAATATAAAGACCATTTTCAGATTCCGGATTATCAAATGAATAAAGACATTCATCTTTATAAATATTATCATTTGGACCAGGTACACGAACATTTTTAAATCTATCAGCCATTATTCCTAATCTAAAAGCAAAATGAATTTTAAATTATTGACAAACAAGTATTAAAGCTGTTAAAAGAAAATTTATATCTACAATGACTAGAAAAATAAGGTATCGGAAATTTGAGCAAAGTATTTTTTTTTTCGCATCGTTGGATAAAGCTAATCGAGTTACTCTATAAAGATGATGGTTTTGACATATTCAGATGACAAGCGAGAATCAAGTGAAAAATATTGAAATACGTCAAAAACATCAAACCACACGAAAGAACTACGTCAAGAAACAACCACTGTTCGAGCTCATATTGTATTCACATGCAGGTCTTAGTCAGACTAGCAAGTTTTAAAGTGTTCGTTTCAATTGATACCAAGTTATGACCTGTTCTCTGGATTTTTAATCCATTTTTAGGTCCTTCTTAGAAAAACGAAAACTTTATCAAAAATTTTGCCTATGGATAGATCTAATGACTCTTAGAATTTTCTGAAAGTTTCAGACGAAAAGAACGCCTCTTCTTCAATATATTGACTTTCCAAAAATAGCCATTTGTCACAAAAATTGAATTCACTTGAAAATTCAATAGAAACATTCTTTTCGGCAGAAACTTTCAGAATATTCTTAGTGTCATCAGACCTATATTATAGGCAAAAATTCTGTATCAAATCTTTCATAACTCGACGCCTAAGACCGATGGAAACGATCATTTTTAGGCTTTTGGTATTCTTGTCGCGACCTATCTATGAGTCTGATATGAGCTTAAACGATCGGTGTCACTTGGAGTAGTTCGTACGTGAGATGAGATGCTTTTGACCTGTTTCGATTGTTTCTGATTTTTGTAACGTAGTTTTCATTTATCCTCTGAATATGCTCAAAAACGACATTTTTAAAGAGCAACTCGACCAGCTCTATTCGACCATGCTAAAAAAATTTCATTAAAAATTTTCGGGACCTTATATGAGATTGAGAAAAAAAAAAGGAAAATGTTTATTTTTCACATTGTAGCCTTGTTCAACGGATTTTGTTCATCATTTCGTATCGATTCATCTTGTTCTATTGACGAATTATTACTACTTAGTGATTGAGAATGGTTACGTTGATGCCATTCTTGTACTTTAGTTTGACTATCAGTTGTTTGATCAGATCTTTTATTTGCATCTAATTCATAATCATCAATTGAATTTGGATCAGATCCATAATTAGTATTCATTATACCATAGCGCTCAGATGATGATTCAGATTCATTATCATCATCGTCGTCTTCGTCTTCGTCTACTTCATCTTCTATTTCATTAGAATTTTCTTCATCATTTTCATATGATGATGATGATGAAGTTTCATCTTGATTATTTGATAATATTTGTTCTTCTTGATGCAATGAATTATCATCACTATTTGAATTTTCTTCATCATTTATACTATCTTCATCTTCATGATGTGATCTTAATGATAAACGATAGTCTTCTTCATTATTAAAATTCTATAATTAAATATTAAAAAAGAAACATAATAAAAAAAACAAAATTTCATTTTCTTTTTCTTTTTCAAATTAACCTCTTCTGATTGTTCAAGAGATTGTCGTGTGTTTTTGTTTAATTCATTTACTTTATTTGCAACAGTATTAATTGTATTTAGAATTTTATACATTTGTGCTTCAGTTGAAGCTAAACGATCTTGTAATTGTGATATTTCATAGTGAGTTAAATTATTTTTTCTTTCATTTGTTCCAAGTTTTGAACTAATAAATGATAATGAACTTTTCATTTCATCAAGAGCATGATTCGCTAAACAAAGAAACGAAATTTATTCGTCAGAAAAAAAAAACAAATAAAATATTTTGAAAAACAAACTTTGTCTTTGTTCAGCTGAAGTATTTTGTTCAGCGTCAAATTCTTTTTGTCTTTTCGACTTTAAATATTCAACATAATCAGGATCTAATCCTTAAATAAATGGATTTCTTTTATAATAAATAAAAACAAATATATAATGATTAATAAACAATACCAGCGTATAAATCGTCATTTTCTTCATCATCTTCACTATGATAATTATTAGTATGATATTTAAATTTTCTTTTTTCATTATTCCATTGAATATTATTAGTTGAATATTGAAGTTTTATTTTATTCTCTTGACTATTACGTTTTGCCCAATACTAAAATAGATCTAGATATTATTTAATAAATAATATCATATTGTTTTAACATACTTTGCAACAGGTATAAATAAAAAAGATTCCTATACCAACAGTATACATTGGTAAAGCAAAAGTTACAGCTGATTGTGAATTATTTGGATCGATTGTTGATTGTTGTTGATCATTAGCACCAGAATTAGGCATTCGCGTATTCGAATATATATTTTGTATGTACTGTGAAGAATCCTAAAATCAATTCGAAATTAAAATTTTTATTGTCTGTAAAATTTAAATAAAATAGAATAATGCTTAACTACCTTGTCGTTGTCATTAGGAGACATCGGTGATGGTACTTGTTGAAAATCTGAAACATATAAATAATTCCATGTGTTATAATTAGAAAATATACTTACGATCATCGATATGAGCCGTTGATGATAATGATCTTGAGCGAAATAATGGCAAAAAAAATCGTGGTATAAGAACAGCGAAACAACCGAATATAATAGCAACAAAAATATTGGGTCTAGCGAAAAGAGACATTGTGCAATTGTCTGTAAAATATATTGTGATTATATGATAGAATTTCAATCGGATGTGACAGGATACTATTTTGCTTAGTTAATAATCTTCTCTTTTTTACTTATTCATAAATCAACAAACGACGATTCTAATAATAGTTATATAGATGTCGTCCATCGACATTCGACGTCAATAAAACAAATTGTTTTATATTCATAGATAGTGCTTCATATCTATTGAAAATAGTATTGTTGATTTTTGAACGATGTGCCTTTACATAATTATTCAATAAAGTCATAAAGATCATGAATATAGAAACTTCATGCCAAATCGATAAAGAATAAAAAAAACAACGTTAAAAAAGTAACAGAAATCTTAAAAAATCTTTTGAAACAAGAACAGACTAAACTTCTCACGATAAATCTTCACAAACTATTAACTCACATTAATAAGTCATGATTGACATCAAATACAACAAATCATAGACAAACATCAAACAACTTCTCTAGTGATTATAAACAATGTTTATAGTCACTAGAAAAGTTGTTATCATTGGATAGAGCTCGTCGAGTTGAACTTAGACCGAGAATAGGAAGATTGGACCAAGTCCCTAGGCGAATCGCTGCCGGAATTACTCGAATCAGCTGCTAACTTCACCCAAGTATTCAAATAAGCTGATTGACCAATTCTTCTCAAATAATTTTGAGCTCATTTATATATTCTATTCAGAGTGAACAAATTATGTGTTTTTCGAATAGCAAAAAAATCAGAAGTCTGGATGATTGGAAATGCTCCTCTATGAGTCTAAGGTCTGCTTTGGACTTCATAGAAGATAAATGTATGAAGTATTCTCTCTTGTTCTACCGTAGTTTCTCAAGAGAAATATCTTTAAAATATGATTTTTATATTTAAATGAGATTTTCGTTTTAGTCATTAGCGTTATCGATGTATCTTAATACATCTGATAAAGTTATATTTGATAAAGAATTTGAGTTTATTATTTGTCAAGAAAAGAAAGAAGCTATTTGACGGTAAAAATAAATTCAACATTTATTGTAATTAATCAAACTAATTCCACATTCAATATAATTTGCATTTTCGATCATGAAAATATTTTCATTTCGAAAGAAATTTACTTGTTGTTTAACTAACAAATTCATTAAGATGTATTCATAAATTCTTGTATAGATATAGATTCTTTTTAATAAGCGAGTTTTCAATTTTTTTTCCATTTTAGATCATTATTCGATTCTATTTATGCAATAATTCTAACTGAAATGAAGTTACATTATTATAAAGAAAAGAATATTTGTTTTGTTTTTCAACTGTTTCTCTTTCATTATTTATATTTTAATTCTTAACTCTTCTTGTTACTGTCTATCACAAGAGTAATCTTCTCTTTATACCAGATAGTAATGCACTTATCACATCAGTTGGTAATCAAGTAAATGTGATCGATTTAAAAATATATTGTATATGTTTGAATTGTTGATCAAAATCAATATTTTATTTTAGTGATCGATCAGAAACATTATCATTTGAAAGTGAATTTAATAGTATTTGTTCAACTCTCTCATCTGATGATGTACTTTTACTTATTGTTAACGAGAGTAAGAGGTAGATTATTTTAATTTGAAAATATTTCATGTATTTTTTCATAGCTGGTCGAGGATATTTATATAATGTCAAATGTCGTAGATTGATTGGTATTCATCGTTTTGGACATGATGTGCGTACAATCAAATTTAGTCCTAATTCCAAGTAAATATAATATTGACAATTTAGATATTATAAATCTATTTGATAATACTTTAAAAAATCTTTTAATACAGAAGTAATATTATTTTTCCGTTTCGAATTTATTTTAATAATGTAGATGAATTGTCAATGAAAGTTTTAATTAAGATTTAAACAAGCTTTAATTATTATTAATAATTTTTTGACATAAGAAAATCTTTTATATTATAGATCTGTAGCTCTTTGTCGTAGTAATCGAGATGAATTCTATACTTGTCTCAGTACTGATCATCAATTCAATTTGTTTACATTAAAATTTATTCTTCGTTCATTTCATGATAAAACAACATTTATCAATTGGATAAGTGATTTTCTGTATGTTATATTTTTCTTTCATAAAAATAAAACCAAAGGAAATCATTTTTGTTTCATAGTGTTTTGGCTGTTATTAGTGCAGATAGGATAACTCAAATATTTAGTATCTCTTTACTAGATAAACTACATCGATTTATATTAGTTAGTCATGTTTGTGAAATAGTTGGTGCTTTTTTCGAATAAGATTCATTGAATGTACATCCATAATTGCCTTTATTTTTCAAATGATATTGTTTTTCTTCTAATATAGATAATGACAATTTGTAAAAATGCAAAAGTCAATTATTGGGCTGCTGCTATGGATTTAGCATCTATGGAATCAATACCATATATACCTGATGAAAATGATGATCAAGAAATTCCGACATCATTAAATGGTCATGTTGATAGAAATGATGATGATGATGATAATGATAATGAAGAATTAGATGATGTTGTTGAACGAGAACGCATTAAACTTTTAGCAAAAAGAAAAGGGTGTGGGTGTGGGGTGCAACTGTGGGTGTGGAGAAAGTATATATCCACACCCACGCCCACACCCACATCCTTTTTTATTTAAAGTAGATGAGGAGAAAAAAAGGCATCTCTTGATCTAAAGAAACTTTTCTGAGTACTATGATGGAAGAAAATTGAATACCCACTGTATAAGAAACAACTAAAGGTAATGTTATTATTCATTTTTGTCTTTTTCTGGAATAATTCTATTCAGATTCGAAGAGAGATGTAAGTCGAATATGAATAGATATCGAATCAAATCCGAAAAAACGCAAAACATTTGGTCTCACAATTCTCTAATTATAAATGAAAGACTATTTATCAAACAGACAATTGTATGTATGATCAATGATTTTCTATAGTTCAAAAGTTGTAGATGACGCCTAATACCTTTTTGTTATGAAAGTTGACTTAGAATAAGACTCAGACGATAAATAACATTTTCTGATCAATAATTGTAAATAAGAACAATGAAAAGTTGCATTGAAAAAAAGATGAAAATCATCGAACAGTCGAAAAATGTAACCGGTTTAAGTACAAATGAAGAACACTTCTAGTATAACAATGATTACTATACTCGCTGATACAATTATCTGTAGACATATTTATTATATCTAACAACAATCATTCTGAAACGAGTCATCGTTGAATTGATTTTTACACTTAGGAAGCGCAATATAATAAGAAATAAAAAGACTAGCTCTATAATCTGCTTATTGATTCACTGAATTATTTAGCAGATATTGATCTAATCTTCAGATATAAGAGAGTTTATCTCAATCAATGGTTCTCTATAGAAAATCAGGAAGATAGACATGAAACAGTGTCACTATTGTCATGGCATTAGTAAACAACAAATAGCAAGAACGATCAGTGTTCGTATACATAGATCACTGATATTTATCGTATCATTGATACCAAAATAAACATTCCGAGTAAGACAACAGCTACATCGAATAAATATCATAATATCAAGAAGATATACAATTATCTTATATGTTCTCTATAGGTTTCTAGTCTTATCGAAAGTGAACATTTAATTAATAAAAATAATTTTTCTGTCGAGCCGTCATGGTTGAGTGGTTACGTTGTTCAACACGTATCCACAAGGTACTGTGTTCAGACCTCAGTATCACCATCCATGGAATGACCTTGGACAAGTCACTAACGGCTAAGTTGTCTCGAATGACTCATTCGTAACGTGCTGAATATATCGTTAGTCAGTACGTTAGACGGAAAGGGATACAGATACCGCCGTCTGTGAAAAGAAGAAGACGATAGAAACCGGCCGCATGTGGTCTCTAATAATAGTCGCGGCTGGCTCCAACGGCCGATAAGCATATGGGAGATTATTATTATTATTAATTTTTCTGTGACTGTTAGTTTATCCAAGATGGTTAGAATATTCTTTGGTCAATTAATGAATATCGATAAAAATGTGAATTCTTCTTATGAGAAATTGTTATTTCTTTTAAAATAAAAAAAAAAAGCATATAAATCAACAATTTATTTGTTGAACTAGATTGTTCAGATCAAATCTTGCATAGTCGCTTGAACCTGATCAATCCATTGCTGTTTATTTATTGTCGCCGATGCCAGCTTATGTGTTAATTTTAGTAGTAATATCGGATGGTCAGCGATGATCTTATATATATATATATTCGTGTTCGAGTTCTAAAGAGAAAAAAATGAATTTTTCTTTAAAATTTAATGAGAAAAATTGTTCGAATGAACAATTTAAAAAAATACTGAATTTGGAAGGCTGTGCAAATACGAATACAAATTGTATTCTGGAAACAATATGACCCTCAAAGCCTAGAATAGCTTGGATTGTATTGTCATATAACAATACATGGGACTACATGACAATATAATCCAAGAGATTCTAGGTTTTTTCCTCAATACATGACGATACATGGCAGTATAATCCAAGCAATTCTAGATTTTGGAGGTCATTTTGTTTCTATATTCGACAATAACGTAACGTGAACGACAACATCCATTAACTAACCCAATAAATGAACCGAGAACATATTCTGATGTTATTACATTAGAAGAATTAATTCCCTGGTATAAAAATTTTATTGGTGAAATTAAATTATTAGATAATGATTGTACACGTGATTTTATTAATGGTGTTTGTGCTAAACTTGATGAAATATCTATTGAAATAACTGATTTACCAATTCGTACTTGGAAACAACAATATAAAGAAAATGTTCTTGAAGTAATGCTTCATCCAAAACGAAATGATATTGCATCAAGTATTCTTGTTTATACAGGTAAATTATAAATTTTATTCGACAATTAAATAAATAATTTTTTTTCTAATTAGAATATCATACTGATACAACAGTTCGTTTTGTTGTTAAATTATTAGGAGCACAATTAGGGATATTTAATGAATCTGGTTTTCATAAAAGTTTTCGTTTACGAGAAACATTAAATTAACCAATATGGTTCTTTTTCATCATAACGGTATGTTACGCCGTAATTTCTAAATCAAAATTAATATTATCGAATAACTTATACTTCTTTCTCACATATTATCATCCCACCCTTATCCCAAATTCTTCATTTTTAAAAATAAATTTTCTTTTGTTTTAAGATTTTCAATCTTAATTGATAATATTTCATTATCAATCATTGCTATGTCAGATCAAATATTTTTGGGAGCAATGTTGTTTTTTCATATACGTGCGTTCGGTGATACATTCGATCTCATGATGGTATCAAGTCATTTTCTTTTTTTTTGAAAGAAGGTTTCGTCGGTAGCGTTGTAACTCGTTACGTGGAGGGTTGTCGTAACGAAAAAATCAGGGCTTTCGTTACATAGAAAATAGCGATAGTCGAAAAAACAGAGATGTCGGAACAAATTTTACAGGGCGATCGTAAAGAATTTCGCAGGGAGATCGTAACAATTGCAGAGTTTTCGCAACGAAGCAGCAGAAATTTCGTAATGAAGTATGTGTTAGCCAGGCTTCATTTACGTACAGAGATTACACGAATGTCGTAACGAATTGTACAGGGCTGTCGTAACAGCTAAAATAGAATTTTTCATCATATATTTCAAAAGACGTAAGCATGTCAAATCAGGGCTGTCGTAACAAATTTTATAGTGGAGACATAACCGTCCATTCAAGGTTGTCGTACCATAAAAGTATAGCGTGTTTGTGTTAAATTATAGGGTTATCGTAACGAAAGATTAGGGCTGTCGTAACCAATCGTCTTGTCCCTATATATTATCACTCATATTTCTTCAGTAAAGTATAGTACGACAGCCCTGTATAAGCAGTTGCGATAACCCTGTAAAATTCATTACGAAACTTCTGTAATTGATGTGTTGATGTTATAAAACGGTATATATCAAAACACTGGTTACGATCACCCTGTAAAATTCGTTACGATAGTCCTGATTTTTGATTACGAAAGCTCTGATTTGTGTTGTTACGAAACCTCTGTAATTGACTAAATCAGAGATTTCGTATCGGTCATTCTTTACGAAAGCCCTAGAAAAAATACGTAACGAGTTGCACCTTTCTCGTTTCGTCGTGTCCGATGTCGAGGAAGAAATAACAATTCTGTATGTCTTTTTATTTGCTTATTTCTTTCATTTTTAGGAAAAAGAAATTTTACCTTTGAACAAACGTAATCATCAGTTTTTACAAGTACTTTATAAGAAAGGTGGTATTACTATCGACACGAAACATTCTGTTGATGAACGTTATTATTATTTAACTTTAAAAGTAATTTTTTTACTATTAAAATTAAATCCCCAAAACTTTTTCATTTAGATCAAAGAAAAATGATATCATGATTTTATATCAAAAGCTAGTGATATTAATACAACGTAATATAAATATTTTGTTTTTAGTTTAATGAAATTTTTACAAATATTTTAGGAAATTATTTAATGAAGAAAATTTGCTCAACAGAATACGTGATTTCATTAATGGTGCTGTTGATGATTATGAAAAAGATAAAGGTGCTACGGGTGGTCAAGTTGATTAATGTATTAAAGATCATAAAGACGGCAAACTCTGCTCATGTCTTTCTCATCTTGTGCTTTATTTTATTCTTTTTTTTTCATGTAACGATTTATTTGTGTCATTAGCGGTTCACATTAGTAAAAAATAAAAGGGAGAGGAAAGAAAAAGAATTGAAGCAAGAAGAGAGAAAAAAATGCAATAACAGAGACAGCTAGTTTATTTCCAGTGTTACAGATCATACCTGCCAATAATAAGGAATAGAAAAGATTCTGCCAAAGGAGAAATTAGTCTTAAATGGAACATAAAAGGAATTTGTAAATAAACAAATTGAGCAGTTTAGTATTTCTTTCATAATGGTCTATTTCTTCCCTGTGGATCCGTTCAAATTTTTTCTAATCGTCGAGTGAATGTTTAACATTTTGTTTTAGCCTAGCCACGAAACGGTCCCGTTTGTTAACTCCCATGCTCTTATACCAAATCTGATCGGAGGCTTTTATGATATTATAGACTCGCCACGTTTGCTAAAAACATAAGGCGTTAGGTGATTGAGCAAGATATATATTGAATCTAAACCAGTAGGCGTATAGATGATCTAGAAAGGATTTTCCCTGTTCAGTATAAGGGTGGTTTTATGTTCCTATTTTAATAATGAAAAAATCTATCTTATACCAGAACAGTATACATGTTCGATTTATCTCTGCTGCTTGTCTGTATACTTTATTTTATTCTCTCTTCTATTTGAATTATTTTCCTTTCTTGTATTATTGGATGTAGTTGTTTTATCCTTTGATGTTTATTGTGCACCCAATTGACCAACATTTTGAGTATGCATTTATTCTGATGTTGCTGTACTTACAACATTTTTTTCACTTGATTCACTACTTGCATTAGCTGATGTTGGTTGATTTTTACCAGAAACTTTCAACATTATTATTTTAACGTATATGACAGACAGACTAAGATTTAGCGAAAAGTGCCTCACTTTTCTAAAGAGCAAAACTTGTGTGGTATCCTTAGGTGATAGACCTTGATGTTCTCTATCACCAGCAGAGATATCAGAGCGATTGCTTGTTGCCGCATAAAAAGTGACTGACTGACCAACATTTTGGTAGGAAAAGACAGAGGAAAGAGCAAAATTGATATTTTTGATGGTGTTTCCGAAGTTCCTATAGGTTGACCAAAAATTTTGAAGAGGCTGAAATGTACAAGTCACTTTCATTCAAGGACATCACCTGAAAAGCAGTAGAAAACTAGAAAAAACCCATATTGACAAATATCGAAAATTTTACTAGCACTTTGATTATTTGTAGAGGAAAAGGTAATTCAATTGGGCTGAAAACTGCAGGCAATACTAAGCCCACTACTATCTATAACATATAAAAAAACAGCGAAATCTGACATAGAGGTGTTTGAAAAAAAACTTGGAAAAAAGTAAGATTTCTGGGGATCATTCTATTATCGATTGAAGCAACTACAAACTTCTTTTTTTTCATGGATGAATCTTCGATAGCTAAGCTATGTAATGACCATAAAGAACTGCAGTTAGTTTTGTTTTAGATACATGATTGAGGAACTACTTGTATGAAAAGTTATCCAAGTTCTTTTGCAAACACCTATATCTCACTATCATTGATATCTGACTTTTTCAGAGACCTACTCTTAAGTAAAAATGATTTTATCTAATTTCCTTACAGATCGTCACAGATATAACGTCAGAAGTGAGGTCTACTGTATCGTTTTCCTAATTACTAAAATGAAACAGTAGAAATTTATGCAGACAAATTTAAAAAGTTGGTTTATGTAATATCTTATTCTCTTAATAAAACAAACATTTCTTGTTCAAGATGTGAATCCAATATAGATTATGTTAACAGCTTTTTGTTTTTGAGTTCTCAGCTTTCCAGAACCGAAACCGGTTGGGAAATCGTAAACTGGTCCGATCTGACCGGCAAACCGACCGGTTGGAATCACATGTCCAACTGGTGAAATTCCGGTGAAAACCGGCGAAAAAATGAAGAAATTTTTTTGAAAAAACGATTCTTAGAAAAAAATGGCTCCAAATATGAAATAGTTCAACAGCATCTGTAAAAGACTCTCATCATAATGAATCTTTTTACAGAGAATCGCAGAACAAATAATGAAAATAACATGTGTTTTCAGCACTTCTGTACGTATTCTTACAGAAAAGCATGTGACACCTTAGTTTTTATGGTCAAAAACATGGTTAACAAAGAAGAGTTTTCAAAACTTTCAACCGGTGAAATTCCGGTCCGGACCGGGGCCAGATCTGCAGTTTTCTATTTATTTTCAATTCTAAAAGATGTATTTCATGATTATATGGCACCAAATAACTTGACTTTGAGCTGTTATTCTGAATTTTTTTTATCTATAAAATAGCTGTTTTACTTTTTTTTTTAGCAGTTCATGATTATCATGTATATAATTCTTCCTGTACATACATAGATGTAGCTCTTTTCAATTATATATAAAATAACTTTTGTGTCTATTTTCAATACTTTTATTTTACATAAGCATTAATAGTAATCAATATTTATACATGTGGAAAATAGTCTTTTGCATATTTAGGAAGTCGACGACCACCAAAACATAAAGAATTCAGCTTTGCACAATTGATTCGTGTTGTATCTCTTGTAAAATGATGCGTCACCCTTTTCAATTGGTGGTAAAAAATGTTAAGATGAACAGCATTATTCGGTAAACATGTTCTCGTATCAATTAGAAATTCTTCAATATAATCATCATGAGCTAGATAAAGAGTAAGACTAATAAGATGAGGAAATTTAATGATCGAAAAATCTTGATTGCCATTCTTTGATTCTTTACATAATTTGTTATTTTGTGGTTTCGAATTTTTTATAGACAAATGTTTAATAAATGGAAACCATTGAGCACTTTGAAGAAAAAATTCATGTTCAAAAGGACGTTCATCATAAAATAATAGTTCATGAACATATTTAAATAATCCACCTGGAAAATTATTTGTTATAGTATGGTAATATTTTAATTTGAACGAATATGAATAGATATGACATAAACTATATTGTTCTTTTTGGAAATAATCAATATAAGAAATAACTTGATCATCTTTAAAATCTTTGAATGTATGTTGAATATCTTCTTTTGATGGTAGATAAATTTGATTAGAAAGATAAAGATCTGAGCAAATATAAAATTGAAATTTCTTTAATTGTGGCATATAGTTAATAATATTCTGCTTCAATTCATTTCCATCAACAAATGTATTTTTGCCACAAATACCAAGATTCAAAGAGAGTTTTTCTAAATTCGACATTCGTTGTAGATATGGTACAATTAATTCATCATAAACATTTGTCATCGATTCACAGTATAGTGAAAAACATCTTATATTAGGTATAGGTAAGTTTTTCTATAAAAATCATATAATGAATTTGTTAGAAAAAATTAAATATTAACCAAAATAACCTACCTGATTATTGTTTCTTCAATCCGAAGGAGTAATAGAAAAAAGATCAACATGAAGTGTGTGAAGTTTATTGAAACGTCCATCAAGTATATAAAGACAGCCGGAGAACGACATCAAACGGATATGCAATTCTAAGAGAGTTGAAGAGTTTATACCTGGATACGGATCTACAAATGATAATTGTCCACTCCAAATTGAAGATGCACAAAAATTTAAATATTGTAAATTGGAAAACGTAGTAAAGATATGTGCTAATATTCGTGAATTCATATCCTTCGTTAAATTTACTTCTCCATATGTAGTATGTTTGACAACAAGCTCTAAGATTTGATTTTTATCTATAGAAGTTAAACAAGATTCGTCTAAATAAAAAAAATACAAAGTCAATGAAATACATGTTTATTTGGTTCTATATTGATCATCAAATCAATCTCTTTATTTATTTTTTTCTTTTTGACAATTTGATAATGTACATGTGTGATCTTTTTTCTTTCAAATTCTTTAATAAATTATATTGTATTTTATTTCAGTCATTTATTTTATTCTACCCTTTCCTCTTTCAGAAACAATGTTTTAAATTTCAATTAAACACACTAGAAAATTTTATTCAAATATTGTTTTAATGATAAGATTTTCCTTGTATTGTTTTTCTACTACTAATTTTCTTCGAATTTATATTCGTCAGTTTGTATCAATAAAGTTCAGAAATATTTTATAAGAAAAAAATAAAGATGTGTAATAATCTAAATCTATTTGTATAAATTAGATACGCAAAATCATTTTGATTTTTGTATATATTTTTCATTAATTAATTATTGAAAGAATCGAAAAAAAGATCTTACCAATAAAGAAAGACAGAGCTGTTTCTATCTCAATATCATATAAACCAAGTCCATATAAATTCGGATAATTTGTAGCAAGAAGAATCCGTTTCATAGATGATGATTCAAGATTAAGCCATTTGATTTTATGATGAATCGACGGTAAAATTTGTAAACAAAATTGAACAAGTACTGGACCAGATAATGGATCGGTGGAATCAACTGAGACATAGTTCATCAATGTTAAGCAATTTGTAAAAATTGGATCATGTACAATTGCATGAAGTCGTTTGTTAACACCTATTAGAGAGTACAATACTTGAACATTGGACAACTTTTTCAAAATAATCATAAGAATCTCATCAGGAAAATCATTTAATTCAACGGATGAATGTTTCATATTTATTTTCACTGATCTATTCTTTTCGTTCATAAATATGAATATATATATATGTATATACTCATTTTCTCTATTTGACCGTGTCTTCATTCATCATCAATGAAAAACAATGAGACATTTTTCTATACTCATAATTCACACCGAATGAACAAATGAAAAAATGGCATTGTTTCTCTTTGTTTCTTTGTGTCCTATATGCGAATAAACGCTGACAAAATCTCTTTATATCTATAATATTACTTTATTTTTAAGAAATGCAATGTGCAGTGTATCATCATGCTTCACTATCATGGACGAACTTCGTCCGTGTGACAGTAAAAGAAGAAAACCATACATATAGTGCTATAATGATAATTAAACATATGGACAAAGAATAGTCAAGTCACAGTAACAAGAAGAAAGAACATTATTAATAGTAAAATCACATTGGCATTATAAAGGATAACCATATGAGAGAAAGGAAATATAGAAAAAAAGAACATACCAAAGAATAAGAAACATAAAAGGATTGTGATTATATTTATCAACTTTCACAGCTTCCTATTTTATTTCGTTTTAGTTTATAACTTGTAATTGATCAAAATTGAAATTAGGAAAAGACTAGCTATACAGAAAGTAGAGTTCTGCAGTTGCTAAAATTACTTGGAACTGAAAATGCGCTTCCGATGCGAAGTAGTAAAAATGAAAAAGAAAACGATTCCGATTATATTCTCAAAAGCGAAAATTTCAACTCATCACGATTTTTGTTTTCTCACTTTTATAACGAATTGACAGTACGAAAATCCTGAATAGAAGTTCCGTAACAAAAAATCAGGGATATCGTAACGAATTTTACAGAGCGATCATAACCGATGTTTTGATATGTACCATTTTAGACTATCACAACCTCAATTACAGGCATTTCGTAATGAATTTTACAGGGTTATCGTAGCCTCTTATACAAGGCTGTTATACTATACTTTACTGAAGAAATATGAGTGATAATATATAGGGACAAGACGATTGGTTACGACAGCCCTAATCTTTCGTTACGATAACCCTATAATTTAACACAAACACGCTATACTTTTATGGTACGACAACCTTGAATGGACGGTTATGTCTCCACTATAAAATTTGTTACGACAGCCCTGATTTGACACGCTTACGTCCTTTGAAATATATGATGAAAAATTCTATTTTAGCTGTTATGACAGCCCTGTACAATTCGTTACGAAATCCATGTAATTTCTGTACATAAATAAAGCACGATTAACATATATTTCATTACGAAATCCCTGTTGCTTTGTTGCAAAAGCTCTGCAACTGTTACGAACTTCCTTTATTAACTGTTACGATCGCCCTGTAAATTTTGTTACGACATCCCTTTTTTTTTAGCTATCCCTATCTTTTATGTTACGAAATCTCTGATTTTTGCTGTTTGTTCAATTCGCCAGTGACGAGTTGAAACTTTCTCTCTCAAAAAAATCATGTGAAACCAGAACCATTAAATCACCAGATATATGCAGAAATTTTGAAACTAATTTTGCGAAATCTTAACTCCTGAATTGTTGACATTATAGGCGGCTCACACTTTATTACTTAGATAAAACAACATTTTACATATGTACTGGAATCTTTAATTTAAAACCTTAAAGAATCAAGATTTCTCAAAACAGGTTTTACTTTTTTTTCATTTGTCTATGATTGAATACGGTTCCGATTCCGTTGTCGGCTCCAGTTTTTTTTTGGAATCGTCGAACGCTAAAAAGTCTGCACGAAAATTGAACATAGATATTAATCCAATAGACATATGGTGCTTGATGATATAAAACCACTAAATAAATTATGGCTATTCACAAATCAATTTATATCTTTTTCTTTACCTATATATCTTCCTTTTGAAAGAAATGCTTTTCATTACACGTAGACAATAGCTAAAGATAAGTTGTTTTAGGTTTACAACACAAGCAGATAGATTTGTTTGGATGAGCTAATGAAACAAATAATTTTATTCGAAATGGTAGGGCTCGAAAATAGGCCAATTTTTCGTAGTTCGACTAGGCTCAAAGTGGCCTAAATATTGTGTAGACTCATCCGGCCCGATTCACGTTTCGCTCAGCCCGGCTCAACAAGCTCAAAGGATATTTCCTTTAGCAAGATTTTTTCCCAATATAATCTAAATATCACTTCATTGTTTTACTACGTGTCAAAGATTTTCTGTACATGTAATTCTGGATATATAAGCAAATGTTTTTAACTAAATTTTGCTTGTTTTGTTTCTTTTTTTTTTGTTTGACTTTAAATTTTGTCGTTGTCCAAACACATGATCGGTGAATAATTTTTATCATTTCTTAATGGTTTACTTCAATACACTATTATCTGTTTAAAACTATTTATTGAAAATATTGGATTTCATATTACAATGCATTTCAGAGATCGTTACAGAATTATGATTTCATGATCATTTAACTCTTAAATATCTCAAATATCTGATATATAATGAATGAAAATTTGTATGAATGGATTATATTTAGATCAGTAGAAAAAGCAGCTGTTAAATATGAAATATTTGTTATCATATTATGCCCACATTTTTACATTGAGGACGACTATTAATTTCATATAGGAACATTTGAGCATGGTTGATTAATTCTTTTTTAGTATAGAATGATGAAATTAATGTCACTCATTATGCAAAAGTTTATTAGTTTCATTGTGATATAGTTATGATGAGTAACATAGTTCAATTCCAAAATAGCATGCACGCTAATTTCTACTTTTGTCAAAAGTAGAAGCAAAGAATAAAACTTTGTTTTTTTGCAGCACAAATGTGAGAAATCTATTATTTTTAGATGATCTTCATTTCTAGTAGTATACGATATTGCTCTATTAAAATAAATAAAATAACGAGTCAGACGAAGCTTGATTTACATAAATATCGTCTTTCTAAAAATGAATTCTCTTCAATACTTATAATAAACATAGAAAAGATTTTTCATAACTCTTTATCTAGTTCCGTTATACTATTTATATCGTTAAAATGAAAGATAAGGGCATCTATCACAATAAAATGGAAACATTTTTTGTTTTGATATTACGAAATATTGAATTACATATTAATGTCATTGGAAAATAATAAATTATACATATTTGTACAAGTTAAATGAACAACAATAGTGTTCATTTTAAATTGACTAATCATTTGAATATAAAGCGATAATCCATAGAAATTTTAAATCTACTACTAAAGACTTATTCGAAGAGAGAATAAACTATAGATTCGAACAAAGTGTCACATGACTAATTAAATGGAGAGGAATAGATAAAAGTCATTTCACATCTAACTATTATTCATTTTTAGATTTGGTGCAACAACAGACAAGTATCTATCGTTACACTTGTTTGTAAACGCTATTTTCTATTGAAGACAATGCTTTTGTAATGGCATCTTCAATGAACAAATTTATCGGCAATCAATCAAATAAAGATGAAGAAACATATCAACTTCTCGAACAATTTGATCACATTCTTAAACGATCTGAAACAGATATCGGTTCAAATAAGCCATGTCAGGAAGCAGGGCTCGAAACGGGCCACCCGGCCCGGTGACCCGACCCGGCTCGGCCCGGCCCAGACCCGGCCCAGCTCGGCCCGAGAAGGTCTTTATTCCGGGCCGGGCGGGCCTCCTCAACGAAGACCGGTGGGCCGGGCGGGTTTCAAATTCTTCCGGGCCGCCCGGCCCGAACTTTATTTCTGTTTTGCAAGGGAAATTTCTCACACAAGACAAAAAAAAATGATTCTAGTCGACTTCTTCCTAGCTAAAGATCGATTAAAGTGGAATTGTCATCATTTAATCAAAATTAGAGTAACTAGTTAATTTTCACTTGATTTAAATGGTGGTGGTCGTAAAACAGGTTTTTCTCGGGTTTTAAGTTAGAAACTCGAACCTCTGTTTTTTTCGAACTGTCTAGCTTAGCAGATCGTGATTATCACAGTAGCCTAGACTTTGACACGTATAGCAGGCGTTAAGATAGACTTCAATTAATACTGACTTGTGTAAGAAAAAATATCGATAAATTAGATTAGAATTAATTTTTTTATGAACAAGTGTCAATTAAAATGACACCATTGGGATCCAGTCAGAATCTGATTTGTCAGGTTCAAGAATAGATATCATTTGATTTTAATCATTCTTGATCAGTTTCTAAAAACCAATTTCAATCAATAGGTCTTTATTATTCGACTAAAAATCGATTTAAAATAGTAAAATCAAATGAAATCTATTTTTCATGTTGAAAAATTCATTTTCAGTAGGAATTACGTGGCATCGTTTTAATCGATTTTTAACAAAAAAAAAATAAATAATCGGTTTATTTAAGGTTTTCATTGACATTTTTTTACATGGGTTGTACATCTCAGGATTGTTAACGATCAAGAAGCTTCACCATGCGAACTCTTTGGAAATTTCATTTAGGCAATAAATGAAAACAAAGTATTTATTCAGTATGATAACACCTCATTCACAGAGAAAATGGAGTGAACTATTAACTGTATTAAGCCACATAAACAGTATTTAAGTGGAACAGTTTTAGCTGTATACTAAAATTAGTAGAGAAAGTAGAAATATCAACCCATGTGACTCATTGAATTTGACCAGTTGGTGTTTCACTTCTGTGAGGTTCGTGCTAATAAATAGCAGTATTCCAGAAGTTGAAGTGTCGATGGATTCATCTTACTCTATTGATTCAGTAAGTAATTCGACTTATCTACCAGCCTTTTTTGAAGACTTAGAATTGTCTAACCTTATTCAAGTCGTGATCATCATGATCATAAATAAAGTTATTATAATGATTTGAAAAATTACAACAGTGTAGGGATGATCAATTTTGCATTTATAAAAACTTAATAAGTCCAAAAATTAATTTTTAAAAATCTAAATCTAAAATAAATTTAAGTTTTCAGGTACGAGAGTTTAAATTTATTTTAAATGTAAATTTGTAAATTTACATTTAAAATTAGTTTAAGTTCTGACATCCAAAAAGTTAAATTTATTTTAAATTTAACTTATTGAAATTCATATAAATAAATCAAATTTAAAATTTATTTAACTCTTCAACGTTCAAATCTATACTTCATTTAAAATTCAACAAGTTTAAAATTAAAATACATCAACGAGAAATAACCATCTTTAGATCCAGTGATATTGGGTTCCGTCACGTGAAAACTTTCTTTATAAAAAAAGAACTACAATGATAATAGTGCCATTGTTATTCGGGCCAGGTCGGGCGGGCACGGTTAATTGGCCGGGCGGGCCGGGCTGGGCTCTAATATAGAAGAGGTTGGGCCGGGCGGGCATGAACTATTCTTGGCCCGGTATGGGCCGGGCTGGGCCATCAAAAATTGGCCCGTTTCGAGCCCTGCTGGTATTCATGTCAAAAAAAAAGATATATGCATATTGTTTAAATAATTTTTGATAGAAGCATAGTAAAGGCCTACGATCATCACCATTGAAGAAAAAGGAGATAAAAATGCATCAGATCCTATCTGACAGATTTTCTAGCATAGTTTAGATTTTTTCGTCGAGAAAACCCAGTTTTTGAGATGAATCGACACAACAAACTTTTACCAAAATGTGCGAAAAAACGTACTTATTCTGTGTGTTTTATTGAAAAATTGGTTAATTTCTCGCAAGTAAACGCCTATGGGTCATTATGAACTGGTCCTAATAATGTTCATCTTGCTCTGTTTTACAAATCTTTGATCGATAGTTCTAATGCATGTCTGAAAATCGAAAATCCATTTTGATGACTTCATACTCGAGATGAATTTTCATAACACTCAATCCAAAATTCTAAGAAAACATGTCAGAAAATCTGTAAAACAGGGTCGGATGCACCGTTTCCCTCCTACTTCGAATGATGAAATCATATATTTTATCCCTTGTAGATCTCTTGATAAGCATCATTTTACTGAAGTTATACACTCGCATGTTGTGGCTGAAACAGTTAAAGTAAATTCTTTGTACAGATGTCTGTTTATAGGCATAAAAAAACAAATGATAAGTCATTTTTACGAATATTGTTCGACAAAAACGGGAATGAATATTAAAGAATGGCATGTCCTGAAGATATGAAATGCACGATTTCTTCATAAACATCAACCTAGATTCTAGTGAATAGTTCAGAATAACCATTCTCATTTACATCTTGCTTGATTTTTCAAGTTTTTCAAAAGAACAACTAAGTTCAATAATTTTCTCTTGAAGGAGTCTTAAAGATTTCTGGAGGGAGTTCAGCCCTCTCCAGTCATCCACTGGCTCCGCCACTACTCCAGTCCTATTCCGATGACCAGTAATAAATTGGTTCTACACATTTAATGTCTTACAATATATTCTTTTTTTTAGGCTATAAAAGGTAATGATGTAATTCCATTTTATTCAATGTCTGACCTGAATTTGAACAATGGGAAGCATCAACACCAAATTAGCAAAAATAGAAATGCAAATACTACAAAGGTTTTTTTTTTCTCTTCATATAAAAATAATAAATATATTTATTCGAAATTTCAGGTTTGGCTAAATCTACAGCTAAACAAGCAAAAGAATATTTTTCAAATATAGATCGTTATCGTATTATATTTAAATATGATTTAATAAAAGATGATATAGCTATACAATTAGCTTTTAATAGTTCATTAAGTGAGGATCGAAAAGATTTGATTAAATGGCATACAGAAGATATTAAACAACAACGTGAACAGAATTTACCAATCGATTATTTATATAAAAAAAAGATACAAAACAAATTAATTTAAATAAGCAAAATATCAAACGATCGATGTTTTGATTGTTTGTACTTTCGTGAGACAATTGACTTGTGTCGCTTCATAAATGAGTAGACAGCGAGAGGATGCATATTTTTTATTAGAATGATCAATATACTACGCAGGCCTTTCTTTTATACCTCAATCGAATGCATGATTCCTGGACTAGGCATGCATACGCTACTAATCATGATTAATGAAAAAGAACGTTTATACGTGTGCATGCACAACTTCTAATCAAGCACAAGTTTTATCGTGAATAGACTCGTCGTCTAAACATAGTGTAAGAAAACACGTATTGGTGTAAGAAATTGATGATTTGATCGCGCCAATTTTCATTTCAACGAACATTATTATTCATTGTAAATAATTCTCATGATGCAATCATCTGAATATCAAGTGAAAGCTTATATAAATGACGGTTTGAATCAACAGCATAGCTTGGATAGTCCAGAAGGATCAGCTGCATTATTACAAGCAAATAAACCTGAAGTTGATGCAACAGATATTCAAAAGGCACGAATTCTTGCAAAAGCTGATGACAAACAAAGTACTATATGATCCTTAACAAGAGATAATCCGATTACAACAATATCTCTCGCTAAATAAATTTTATTCAAACTATTCCTATCAAACAAGTTAAAATAAATAAACTATCAATTGCTTTTGTCTGAAATCTTAAAGCTTACTTCCTTTAAAAGGCAAAACCATTTTATTCACTAAAGAAAACGGAAAAACTGTAACGGACATATGCCTAACATTATGATGCCAATTTAACATTTCTTTCAACAGAGAGTTTATAATGAGTTATCATAAATTATGCTGAAAACATCAGGCCTTTGAAAATTTATTAAACGATGGTTAGGTCCCAACTAACTTTTGTGTTCTTGATTATTAAAATGATAAATGCGTAGTTTACGCTATCGAAAATAGAAAGCGAAGAATAATAAACCCCATGAAATTGCATTATAACCTCATAAGTTTTACATAATATTTTCATAAATCCTTTTGGGATATATGCGCCATTCTTATGGATCCTTGCACGCCTATAAATATAGCAAAACTCTTCAAGTGTTCCTTGAAACCAATAGTATATCCCTCAAGAATTCATTATCTTTCATAGTAACTTTTATGTGGAGAACTTTTCTTTTTCAATATTTTTTTTATATGGATTTATCATTTAACTTCCAGAAAATATCATCATATTGTAATAAATGCTTTATGAAAATCTTCTATGATAAAAAAAAGAAAAGAATGAAATACTAATAATCGTGACTTCATAATACGACATTTTATGTCGTTGGAATTTCTTTCTAATGATGACAAAATAAATTTACGCGGAATCTCTCACGCACACTTTTCTGCACACAAAATGTATCCGGGTTATGTACCCACTAGCAAAATAAAGTAGAATGATAGCAGTATGAATTGGATCTATGCATAATCTCATTTCGTTCATTGATAATGATATGATTAGTATAATTGAAGATCCTTGAAAATCAAAAAAAAACAAACTTCATATGATCAAGAAGAAATGAAAGCTAAAAATAAGCGTAAGAATGGTATTTTATGTGTTATTCATCATAATTGATCGCTATGATGATGACAGGACAAAGAGATATCTTCTGATTTATGACATATAAAATCTATATCATCACTGGCAGATTTAGAGAGTATGAAGAAAGATGAGAGACCTTGCTTCAATAAATTTTTTCTACACAAAAACTAGATGGAAATCAGTTTCATATTATTTCGGATGAGCTTCAAAAATCTATTTTAGAATATGCTCGCTTGCTGTCTGATAAATATTCTAAATTCATAATCGAACATCATGATCTTACATTGACATAAAGTTTTGAGTTTTTCAACAGTTATTTAAGGAATTGATGATTGAATATAATAATGGGTCTACCAAAAAAGTTTTTATCACGCTCGATCAATACATTTAGTTATTTCTTTATACTAGTTGTTTGGAAAAAACCTGAACAAAATAATTTCTCTTTCTTTTGAAATTATCATATTACTTTAGAAAGTTTTGTACATTCATAATTGATATTGTCATGTGGAAAATTATGAGAAAAAAAAATATTACGATTCACTCTTAAATATTAGTACATGACGTGTTAAGTATATATTCTAAAGAAAAGTAATTACTTTACGCTATTACGATAACTCAACAATAAGGATGTTTTGTTCCACGCCTTTATTTACTTGTTCACAATATTTACAATAGGAAAAACTCTATTATTGGAAATATGGAACCTCGTTGTCAGAGAAATTCTTTGATGAAAGTTATTTATCAGAAAATACTTTCTTTCATTTCGTATGATTCAAAAGTCAGCAAATTTAGTAGCACTACTCTGAAATATATAGTCTTTTATTAAATCTCTACGTAGCATAAAATTTCATAGGATAATTAGCTTCCTTGTATTTTATATATTAAAAACAGTTGTTAAGAATTATAATCTATATTTTTGTCGTGCTACTTCTATTTATATGAAGAGAAAAATAATCGCTGCTAATTGTTTTTATAACTAACATAAACATCAGAACCATTTTGTTGTTAATTTCTTTTTGTCAGTAATAAGTATATCAAAATAAGAAAAGAACGAATCGTATATTCTAGAAAATAAGGATAAATACACGTCAAAAATAACATGGTTGCTTTTCTTCTGTCATATTCTATAATTATTTTTCATGTCATTCAGTCAATAAAAAGGTTTTTTCAACATCAAATGCTCAAAGTAAAAAGATATATCAAATGTCGATATTTCCGACATTCGTAATAAATGATCAAAAAACACAAAATTCCTTTCTTATTATATAGTTAGTATATTGTGTCTAGTTTGTTTTGTATATAATGAGTGTTTTTTTATGCTAACTAAAAAAAAACTCTCTATGTATGCATTGCACAAGTTCAGTTTGAATAGAAATGTTCGTTTGTAAAATAAAAAAGTACAGTTTATTTTTCCTGTTCAGAATCAGATGATGATGATGACGATTTCCAATCTTTTGAATCATCCACTATATTTAGAAAAAAAAAAGACAAATAAATTTTAACATAGAAAACATAAAAGAGTTTAAACATACTGGAAATAGCTTGATCATTAACACCTTTTTTGATACCATAATGTCTAAGTGAATGTTTGCCTTTGAGTACTTTGTCACGAAAAATAAGACGACATCCTTGTTCATACTTAGGTTTTAATCGTAATTTTAATTCTTTTTTTAAATTATGTACATGAGTTTTTTCATCCAGTACGAATGTTATTGATTGTCCATCAGATTTTCGAACAACAGTGACACTCACTTGGTCAGTTGGAGTAACAATAATCGGCTCCGTTGATGATGACATTTATTATATGTTTTTGACTATTTTTGTTCGTTGCCAATAGAGCTGAATGCAAGTTTATGAAAGAAATGACGATGACAATAAGGGCACAAGGAAAAGAGGGAAAAGAATGTGAAGGAAGATAAAAAAAAAACTATTTTCCTTTTTTTTTTCTCGACGACTCCTTGCAGCCATTTGAGCCAAAAGGAAAAAAAGAGCAGATCGATGTGTAGAAGCATTGTGAATAGTGGGTCGCACTTTGTATGTTAGCTGAAGTATCGAGAAGATAGAGGCCCTATACGAATAGAATAGAAAGTAGTACTCAGCGAGAGCAAGAACGAGAAAAAACATCAGTATTGACATTCTTGAATATTTTATCTTATTTTCAGCTATATTAATATATGTTTATGTAACAGCTTGTTAGTTTTAAACAGTTATTCTTATGGCAAATTTATTTATTTTTATTCAGATTCCTTGAATTGCACTAACTGTCATACTATAAGTAGTTAATGCATGTTAGTGATATTTTTTCTCAAGCATAAACAATCGAATAGTCATAGAAATTCCGAAAGTCCTATGAGAACGGAGATCGAAATCGAAAAAAATTGTTTCCATAGGATAATATTAGACAGACAAGAAATCGTAATTCACTATTAATAATACAATGCAATGTTTCATATTTTACTAGACTACATGATCATATAACATATTTTGCTTTTTTTTTGATAAAAAAACTTTATTTAGATAAACAGACAAAAGATTTCTATATGATGAAAACACCAAAGTTTTGTTTTTTTGAATGCTATTTTGCATTAAAAATTTCGGTTTTTTTTTAAATTTTACACCAAGGATTAGATGTACTCAAAACATCTTCAAAAAAAAGTAGTTTCCACTATGTTATTTTTCATTATGTGCAATCAATTGGTTATATAGGAGATCATCGGTTGTAAGAAACATACGTAGGAACTATGTACATTGGAGTGAATTTAACAAAGCAAAGTTATTCGACAAAACTAGAACACATTGGAGTTATTTGAAAAAAAAAGATTTGGTAATCGGAAAAATTAAAAACATTGCGAAGATTGATCTGAACAAATAAATGAATTATCTATTTGCATCATAATCGTTCTTGTAAAAAAACCGTTGATGATTACGATAATTGGTAGTGAATGTTTAATAATAGTTATTTTTTCATTGTTATTCATTCATCATAATTCAATTACATAAAAGAATCGTGAATGCATATTTTAATCTAATTAATGGATATTTTAAAAAACAATCTCAAATCGATTCTTTCATCATTGCGAAAGAAGAAAAAACCTTATAATTTATTGAATAGAATAATACAACCAAAATGTAATTATCGGATTTAATTTCAGTGTTTTTTTGTTTCTTATTTTTTTTTTGTATTCTAAGTATCATTACCCTTTATATTCAAACAATGCATGATGTATAATTGAAAACATAGGTCAAAATTCTTTTTTCTTCTTATTATTAAATTATCAAAAATATTACAAATATATTTTTGAAATGAAAATAAACGAAATTTCAGTCTATTAATAATAGCCAAATCTTGTATTAGTACGAGTATAATCAAAAGGAGAATATGACATTTGATAATGTGATAGTTGATCAAGTATATTGTACAGTTGTGGATAATTACCACTGGCCATACCATTGAGAAAACTATCAAATATGCCATGATCATAAGCTTCGTATAAATTAATGCCAAAAAGAAATAAAGTACTAAGACCCATAGATCATTGAAAACGAACTATTCAAATCAAGAAAAATTATTCCAATCAGACTCGATATATAAATATAAAATCAATTTGCTTACTCGAAAAGTAGATTAAAAAAGAAGCTTGTTTGTACAAAAATTGGTTTCACTATGTATAAACGAATATTCTTTTTCCTTTATATACCTTGACCGAGCAAACAAACAGGTAAATGCGAAGAAAGTATCTACAAAAATAATTTCACGACAACTGCTTTTATGAGTTAGATGCATCATGTCAAAACTATTATGCTTGCTGACGTATTCTATCATCCAAAAGATATAATAATATTGACTTCATATTACGTAGTACTATATTGATTGATTCACAAATATATTAATTAACTATATATTGATCTTACATAAGAAAAATACTTTTTTTATGATAGCATTCACTTCTATGAATCTAGTTTGACGATTTAAGCAACTCTAGTCAGCATTTCTAAAATTGACTATTAATGAACAACGTCTCATTTACTTTTCATTCTCATATTATTCTTTTTTGCTCTTCAATATTTATGATTAAAAAATTCGTTGTTTTAATTTATAAAAAGTATTTCAAGAATCTAGATTAAAATCTACATAAAATAGGAAGAGGATAAAAAAGTTCAATAATTTGTCTTCAAAGGCCTGGAATTCGATTATTACGAAATGCTTCAAAAAATAGATGATGATCACGTCGTACTTGTTGACCATATATCTAAAATACAAAATTTCCGATTAATTCTTAACAAAAAAAAAACAACGTTAACATCCTTACCATGCCAAATTCTAGTATATCTTGAATAAATGCATCATCTTGTCCACGCACAGCATCACGAATTGTATGTTCAGTATCTCTTGGTATAATTGAAAATGGTAAACTTTCTACAGTATGTGGTGTATTTATACAATCTGAATCAGCTACACAATGAATTTTTGCTGAAAAGAAAATATTGATTTTATTTCTCTAAATATTAAACAAAATAAATGATTCTTACCCATAGCTCGTCCGAGATATTGAACTATTTCGACAACATCTTGAAAATCATTAACATCAGACCAATCAAGATCTTCTGAATGTGCTGTCACTGCATCAACAAGACATGGAGTTGTTCCTAATGTTGTATAACCTAACCATTTAGGTGTTGCTGCTTGCATTGCGTATGAACATAAAACTGTTCGTAAACCATCATGTTTAAAATATTCCTCTATAGTTGGATTTCGTACAACATAAGATACAGCAGATTTTTGTGCTGGTTTCATATAAAGAACAACATCATTTTCTAATGTTTCAGATCGTCCTTCAATTAAAAATGAATAAGAAACTTTTCCAGCTGAACCAATACCAGGTGATGAACGTGCTACAATATCTTTGATTTTATATGTTACTTGATCATTATTAAAGTTTTTTTCTGGATTTCTTTTATTTTCTGGTATTGTCTCTAAATATCTTTTAAAAGCACGCGTTAAATCATCACGTAAATTACCATCAACATCTTGAATATATTTTGAACGAATAAATCGTCGATCATAATTTTCAATATGAGTCATTGAATCCAAATGTGCAACATGAGATTTAACACGAGTTTCATTTAATAATTTTTTTATTCTGCCTGATGTATTTCTTAATGTTAATGCAAAACGATCTTTTGCATGTTTGCAAAAATCATAAACTTGTTTTAAATATTCTTCAATACAAATAATAAGTATATGTTCAATTTCTCGATCTGAAAAACCTTTTGAATAACATATCAAATTAAGCGAAGCTACTAAACGCTTAACATCCCATGTAAATGGACCAATATAACCTTCATCAAAATCATTCACATCAAAATTGAGAATACCATGATTATCTAAATATGTACCGAAATTTTCTGCATGCAAATCACCCTAGTAATAGATAAATAAAAATTATTTTTATTGATATTTTAATTATTTATTTACATGAATAAAAATTTGTCCAGCAGCATTATTTCTGGCAATAAATGGATCTTGATCGACTTTTAAATCTTGATAAAATAAAACTGCTGAACCACGATAAAAATTAAATGGTGTAGCTGCCATTTTACGAAAACGACCACGAAATGCAGTTGGATTTTCACGAATACTAGCTTGAAAAAAATGTGAAAATGTATCAATAATAAATTGAGTTCGCTGTTCATTAGTTTGTGATCGAATACGATAAATTGCTTTTTGAGGTGCATTAACATCATAAGATAATCGATTTGATTGATAACGCGTATTAAGTTGTGCTCGATACATGATTTAAAAAGATATTTTTTCTTATTTTCTTATTTTCGATCAGCTCACACGTCAAATAGATGCTGTTGATCGGCTCAGATTCAAATCGATTGAAAGACTCGAACGAGTATTTACTACTCTCTCTCTGTTCGGTAGTTGTAGGTGTATTTGATCAGCTTCTATTAACCTTTATGTGTTATAGGAATTTTTTTTGCTTCGAAGTCAAATAGAAAAACAGATTTGATACGAGTAAGTAATGAAGTTTTTTCTTGCAAGGAAGAAATGAAGTGGCAGATAGGATAAAAATAGAAAAAAATTGATGTTTATGAAGTTATATTAGTTTTTCGTATTTAAATGCGCATATTTTTGCGGTAACCAAGCCTCAAAAAACGATGTTGTTGAATAAGAAATGTCAATGTTGAAAGAAGAAAGAAAAATAAAAACTCTGCAAACAATTGTATTAACTCAAGGTCATTATAAAGAAATGTTTTAAAACAGCAGATTAATTATTAATTGAAGATACTAGTGTAAAAAAAAATAATTTTTTTCATTATTCGATTAATTAAATTATTCGATGAGATTTTTGTTCGATAGAAAATTTATTATATTTGTCCCCGTGAAATAAACAATGCATAAAACTAACAAGTTAAATAAACATGTCGAATGAATTATATTTGTGGGAAAAAGAAATCTCGTTTAGAATATATTATCAAAAACAGTTTCATGTTATATTGACATTAAAATAGAACAGTTGATAACCATATCTATATTAATCATAATTTATATTGAACAGAAAAATCAAGTTGTTTTATTTTTGTTTGTTATGAGTTATTGGGTGCCAAACTTCGATTTTCTCTGATCATTAACGGATGAATAAAATACTTTAGAACAAACAAGCAACTTTGAAATCATTATAAAATTATTCAAACTATGTTTTTTATCTGCATACTTAGCTAGCTTACAACATCAAAGAAGAATAAATGATAGTTTACTTATTTGCTTTTACATTAGTTTCTCAATATATATTGAAATCTGATAAAAACTACTAAAATAGCATTCTTTCACAAAAAAAAACATGAATTTTTTTATGTTGTTTTTATTATGATTGGTCGACTCAAAACAAATTTGTTTGAATAATCACAGTAGCCCTGAAGAAGCGATTATATATGTCGCATTTTTTTTGTGGTTTTTTTCCATTGCTTAATTTATTTTAGCAGTAGTTGTGATTAGTCATCAAATCATTCAATTATAAAAGTATTAAAAAAATCTTAAGTCTGTATAATGTTCTTGATAATCAGATTATACAATATTGAGTAGAGAAAAACATAGGCACTTGTTAAAAGAAATTCGCCTTCATGAATATATTTATTGAGATGGTAAATATAACCTTCATTGTTCAATATAATTTAATAACTATAGACAATGTTTGTTTTTTTCTTCGCTATAATTCTATAATGACTGCATTAGAAGTGACATATACTATTTGTTATAATTACAAAACGGATATTTACTTACATAAATATTTATATATCGTATTAATATCTGTTATTTTTATAAAACATGTTATACATGAAAAAGAAATATCCAAACAGAAAACTAATAATAATTACATGACTAATGACACTAATATACAAAAATGTAATAAACAAATATTTAAAAAAATGTATTATCTATTCAACTAAAGAAACTTGATATAAATTATGACCTTTTTTCAATAAATATCCATTATCATTGAGTTTTGCTACTAATTCATCAAACCTATCCATATTCATTTTAATATCCTATATATTTAAAGAAAAAAATATTATATAATCATTCAGTTATAAAAAGAACAATCGAATACTTACTGTTGCTATTTGTTTAAGTTCAGCTATTGAAAATAGAGGATTTGTCTTTTTTTCACTAACACATCGAATAGCATTCATCATTTTCTTAACCTAAATTCCAAAATTTTGTTTTTATCAAAAAAAAAAAAAACAATTTAAATGAATACAAACTTCTGATGCTCGACTCATTCCGGAACCATGTTGTAGTCGTGAAAAATCAAGTTGACCATTTTCATCAGTATATGTATCGATCATACTAGCTTTCATTATTTGTACAACATCTAGAGCATCTGATTTAGTACATTCTTCCCGTAATTCAAGTTTTGCACGAGCCTAAAAATAAAAAGAAATTTATATACTTTTTATATTAATGAAGGAACTATCCGAAATTACACCCGTCATTTGAGATCATATTCAACCCACAGGCAAGTCTCAATGAGAATAACAAAAACCTAAAAATGTTTGCTCAATTAGTGCTGAGTTATGATCAGTTTAATAAACTATTGATCTCTTTTTAGGTACTCTTTGAAAGATTGAATAATGACGTTTTAATCCAACGTTTTGCCTATAGATAGATCTAATAACACTTAAAATATCTTGAAAATTTCAGCCAAGAAGAACGGTTCGTTGTTGAGATATTGAGTTTTCAACTTAACTCGGTTTTTGTGACAAACGAATATTTTTTTTTGCCTAAAACTTTCAGAATATTCTCAAAGTCATTAGATCTATCCATGGGCAAAATTTAAGGTCAAAATTTCGTTATTTGCCATCTTGTTAAATACCTAAGGTTGGATCAAAAAGTCAATGAAACAATCATAATTCGCTTCCAGAGGTTCATAAACACTAATTCTTTTAAGATTTTTCTAGCTATACTGAGACCTCCTTGTGAACCCAATATGAGCTCAAATGGGAAGTACCAGTTTGGATAGTTCCTTCGTCAATAAAAACATTTGCTTTCAATACTTCAGTTAGACGCATTAATGATTCAAGTTGACGTAAAGTAATAGGAGTTGTTCCATCACGTTGATGAGCAATACGTAATTCAAAATAAAACTTTTTAAGAATATCAATTGCTTCACGTGTAAGACGAGGTTTGACATATCGACGTGCATAAGCAATATACTATTAAAAATAAATGATATTTTATATAAATTAATAAACTTGTTTACTTTTTGTAAAAGATTTGGTCCAACTGGTTCAATCGATTCACCAAGTTTAAGACGTAAATGTTCAAGTAATGGAATTTCTTCATGAAGTGTTGATGATATTTGTTCTGGACGATGATTCACTGTTACTGCTTCATTTTGTGTTCGATTTAAACTCACTGTTGTATTATTATGTGATGAACGAATTGAACGATTATGTTGAGCAAGAACATGTTCAGATAAACGATAATCAAGTTCATCATCAGCTCGATCAATAAGAATAAAGACAAGATCAAAACGACTTAAAATTGGTCCTTTTAATCTTAAATCAATAAATAATCTTTTTTTTCAAAATTATGAATATAAAAATCAATACTTTAAATTTTCAGCTACTGTTTTTGCTTTGTTATAATGTCCACCAACTGGATTTGCAGCAGCAATAACACATGTTCGAGCTGGTATACTTGCCATAATACCACCTTTAGCTATAGATACACATTGTTGTTCCATGGCTTCAAGTAATACTTGTTGTTGTGATATCATTTTATCAAATTCATCAATACAACAACAACCTTGATGAGCCATAACAAGTGCACCAGCATCTAACATTAAGTCTCCATCTTTATCTTTATGTAATGTAACTGTAAGACCAGATTGTGTTGAACTTGTACCACAAACATATACACCTTTTATTAGTAGGTTCCAATATAAATCAAAATAAAATTAAAAATATTTCGTCATTATCTACCTCTTGGTGCAACACTAACACAAGCATGAAGCAATTGACTTTTACCGAGACCTGGATCACCAACGATTAATACATGTGGATCAGAACGAATTGGAATATGTGACTAAATATTATAATAGAAAAAAGAACTCCTTTTGTTTTATTCTCTTTTTAACTTACAGCACCATCTTCATTTCGAACTAATCCACCAAATAAAGCCATTAATAATGCGGCTTTAACAAGTTCATGTCCATATATACTTGGACAAAGTGAATGAACAAGAAGTCTATTATAATAGAAAAATAAAATAAAATAAAATTCGAAATTCTTCTCATTAATCTTCATAAAAAAGCCTTATTTCTATGAATACTTGATATAAAACATAGTGTCTAGCACGATGATAATAATACTGGGCAAGAAGAAATAATGCACAAAAGCACGATATAGTGCTAAGTAATATGAATTTAGATCACACTATAGTTGTAGCGTTTTGTAAGCAAAGTACATTTCAAGGATACGTATGAGTAGGCTTCTATTCACCATTGTTCATTGTCACACTCTCTTTAGACATACAGTTTTTCTTGTTCTTATTATTTTACTGTTAAACGTATTACTTATCTGTAGCTTTTTAGTTTATGAAACAAGAAGATTGCAATAAAAAAGTAAATTTATATTTAATAACTTTATGAACAAACATAAATTAGTTAAAAGTGAATCAGAGCTATTGAAAATGTCGCTTTTTACCTTGACGTTTATTGCATATAAGTAATAATTATCTTAAAACACCACATCACTTCTAATAGAATCAAAACAGAATGCACAGTAGTATGTAGTGCTACTGGATACTAACTTCAATTGAAAATGTATACCGCCTAGTATTACGGAATGTACCAACTTTTTATAGGATTTTAGATTTTCACAGAAGCTAATGCGAGAAATTTGAATTCTGACAAAAATTCATGTAGCGTAAAATCATATATAACAATAAAATAAATATTTCATTTACTTTAAAACATTTTTTTGTTGTTGAATTTGTTGAATACCATATAAATCAAATAAAGAAAAATCCATTGTATTCATTAAACTGTTACCACCTAATGCTGCATCAGAAGTATTTAATCGTTGATTAACAACTGAATTAACATCAATATAAACTTGAAGTAATGATTGATCAGATATTTTACGTAAACCACCTCAAAAAAAAAAAATAAGGAACACATTTGAATTTATTAAAATAGGTAAATAAAATTGTTTCTATTTTTCATACTATTTTCATCTACCATTAATTTTACAACACCAGAAACAACTACAACATCACCTGGAATAGCACTATTAACAAGATCATTTGTCAGTTCACATTCAATTGTTTGTGGAATACGACCAGGTGCTCGTGATGCTTCTGCAGCAACTTCTTGCAAACTAAAAACAAAAGAAAAAACCATTTTCATCAAAATATTTTTAACAAATATTCAAAAACCGAATTGTTTGCCAATCAATAATAGTTGTTAATGGATGAGAACGTTGTTGAGCAAATGATCGACCAATACAACCTGGTGTTGGACAACGTTCTGGTTCTGTATGTTTACCATTTTCACATGTTACACCAAATGTATGTCGACATGTTGAACATTCGTATGCCAGACGAACGACCAAACATTGTGAATTACTTACACGTACAACAACTCCTCGAATCGACACGAATTTACCTAAATACTTCACAATGACTGATGGGGAAAAAAAAACCAACAAAAAGAAACAAAACCATAAGCTTGAGCTTTGACATCTTTTAATCGAACCATTGGTGAAAAATTAACTAAACGTGCATGAATTACTGGAAGATCAATAAGTGGTACTGTTGGATGATTACATTCATTAGCTGCTAATCGATCTTTTTCTTCTTGTTCATCAATAATGCACTAAATACAATGAAGTTCGTTTTTTTTTTCAAAAAGAAATAAAATTAACAATTAGTGTAAAAGTTCTGTACTAATTTCCTTTTCAGTATAGCATGACAATAACTTGTCATAGAGACTCAATAGTTTTCTTGTTAGAAAGAGCAAACTTCTCATTATAAAGCTACGTAAGAATATTATGTTCAATATACTAATCGCAGAATAAAAAGTATCATGTAATCTCACACACAAAAATCAGTGATGAGAAATGCATTTGATCGATTTGTCTTACATTTGGCATTCGATATTTCTCAAACACATTATGTATGAGTCTAACAGAGACGACGTGAGCTTTCTATTGGTATCAAAATATTGAAGTTACAAAGCCACAAAATTCATAAGAAATAGTTTTATTAAAAACTTAATTTTCCTTCTTACAACGTCCAATGAACCCAATACAGCTCAGTGAGACCTCCGCTCTGTTTCATATAATACGTTTTTATAAATGACTCACTAACTTGAAGTGCTATTAAAAGCTTTTCTAAATCACTTGTGAACAGTTTTTATTAGCAAAGGCCATTAGAAAAATGTCGATTTTGAATTCAACCAATGATTTAAAATATTTATTTTTACTCGTTTACAATGCTCAATTATAGCGCTACAAAACTCAATTTTTGAAGAAAATATTTTTACACCGATTTGTAGTTGAGATTTTGCTCTTTCTAACAAGGAAATTATCTTAAGTTTCAACGATGAGTTGTTGTCACCCTATGTTACAAATAAAATGAATGCAGAACCTTTACACCCTTTGTTATTCTGTACTTGATGCATAGCTAAACCAATAACTCGCATTGTTGTTTCATTTTGATCGGAAAAGAATAAACTCCAAGTTTGTTTTTTGTCTTGAAAAGCTATTCAATAAAAAGAACTTTTTATAACAAATTACATTTTGTTTTGATTATTCTCTACCTGAATCTTCAAGTACTTCATGATAATTAATAGTAAACGATTGTTTTTGTTCAATTTCAGACTAGATAAATAAATATAAATTGTCAACATAACTCTAATTATAATCAACATACATAATCATATAAATTTTTCATACGTTTAAAATAATCTTCAAATAATAGACAAACCGATAAATAACTTGGATCAGATTCTTTGTCTAAAACAAAAGTCTATACAGATGAAATTCTATCAATAAAATAAACCTGTATCTGGAAAATACAGTGACCAACCACGGTAACGTGCTGGTCTTTCAGTAATATCAATATAAGTAGCTAAATAAAATTTTTAAAAAAAATTATAAAATATATTCTTATTATTATTTACTTATAGGTGTTTGTATAAATTTAACTGGACTTGAAGGTCCTACATGTGAATGATTTTGATTATGTCGTTCATCATCCTGTTTCGATGAGTTTTCATTATCTTTTTTATTCTTTTTCCAAAATCGATTTTTAAATTTATTATATGGATTATATCCTTTCTTTTTTTGTCCATTTTGTTGTGGTTTTTTCTGTCCTGGAGCCATAAAAAGAAATAATCTAAAAGATAATTCTAATAGCAATCTAACAGAAAGAAACATCGGATAGATACGTTAGTCGAACTGTTTCCAATACAAACTACAGAATGAAAACAAGAAAAAAAAAAAAACAAATAGATAAACGTCATCGTGCTTTCGATCGGCAAGGCGCCAAAGATGAACTTTATTTTGTTTTGTTTTTTTTTTTTTTATTAGATAATAAAACAAATAAAATATTTTGTTTATCGAATGAATTTGTTCAACGAGAATAAAAATAATTCTTCTCTATTTTCTTCAAAAAAATCTCTATTAAATTATCGAACATGTACACCTTGTTGTCCATATGATACTAATAATTTATTTCATCCAAAATTTAATAATTTTTCTACTATTGAAACAGATATTAAAGAAAATAATTTAATAAAAAATCCAGATACATGTTGTTTAAATAAACTTCAAGTTGATTGTCGTATTCAATGTTATAAAAAAAAAAAAAAACATAATAAAATGATAAAAAATAAACGATATAATCCTATACATTCATCTCAAAATTTAAAAAGAAGTATTTCATTATCAAGCCAATTAAGTTCAAATAAAAAACGAAAAAAATTTGATTCAACTACAAATATAAACAGTCATTATATTCATAATTATGATATTGATAGTCAAACATCTTCTTCATCACTTTCAACATTATCAAATACAAATGAAAGTGAAATAACTGAACAAACATATTCTTCTATTGAATCAGAAAGAAAATATAAATATAAGAATAAATCTGCAAGTACAATGTCTAAATAAAATACATTTGCAAAATTTGTCTTAATAACTCTTTTCTTTTCTTTTCTTTTCTTTTTTCTATTTCATTAGATGCACAACAACATTATAAAAGAAGCCAATCAAGATTACGTATAAATCAAAATATTCAAGATTTAAAAACTTCAATTAATAATCTGTCTGAGTTAATTGTTCAACAAAAAAATCCTTGTCAAATATCTTCATTACCTAATCAATCAATATCATTTCTTGATAAAATTCGTCGATTTTTTACTTTATTTAAATCTTCATCAAAATCAACTAAAGATTTAATCAATGAAGAATGTTGTCGAATTCTTGAATATCACCATTTAACCAAACAAAATCTTCTTAGTATCTATCATTTATTTGATAAAAATGAAACTATATTTCTCAATTGGTTACGAACAATCATGCCTGACTATATTCTTCCATTATTACTTAACTATGTTAAATATTTTGATTCGATATCAACTGATAACGAATAATACATATTACACTATGTTGTGTCTTTTTCACAGGAACACAAAAAAAAATTTTTGTTTTGTTTATGTCGATTCTTATCTTAGAATAAACTATCATTTGAGACTGGTTTTTTTCTTTTGGCTAGGTTGTTGTTTGTGAAAAATTATGAGTAGTTTTCATCATTTATTTTCAACTGTTAGATATTGCTGAAATCAAATATTTATTTGTTAGTGTATGAAGTTCAATATATCTATGCATAAAATAAAAGTTCATCCGTTAGCTTTGTTTGTACCTATAAAGCGTCCGTCCGTTAGTTCGTCATGATTATTTCTTTCAGCTCAATTCAGAAGAACGCAAAGAGAAAAAATGCGAGGAAGAAAAATCGTGTTATTCTGGTTCGTTTACGTGTATGTTTGTTTCTCTTTTTTCTTTTCTCTCTCTCTCGGTTTTTTTTCTGCTTCTTTCATTCTGCTCTGTGTACGTGTGTCTATCGCCGTCGTCGCCGTCGTCGTCGTCGTTTATCCTCCACAGTTACTCGACGTATTTGTGCCTCTCTACTGGTGTCGCCATTCATTCCCCCATCGTTGCATATTTCCCTTGCGCCGCCGCTTCTGCATCACCGACGGAGCACGCCAGTGTCCACTGCTAGTTCTAATTTACTATTCGTTGTTGTATCGAAGTAGCAACAACGAGGTGGGATGTAAGTCGAAATGGTCGCCGTCTTTAGTTACCATTAAATTAAAAAAACAAATATTTTCATTATTATCTTAGGGCACATTTAAATAATAATGAACCATTATGTATTGTACAAGGATGTCCAAATGGTATTCAAACAAATCCATCTATACAATATTTTGCTGTACCAGTACATGTGGCAAATATTGCTGCAGCATGGTATAAAAATACTATGCGTACTGATTTAATACCATCACATACACATCGTATATGTGAACAACATTTTGAAGAACCATGTTTTGATTATGTTGGAAATAATACAAAAGTACTTAAACCAAAATCATTACCAACATTATTTGATTTAGAAGTTTTCTATAAAATGATTGCATATCAAGATAAATTACAAGAATCAAATAAAACAATTAAAAAAACAAATATTACATTTCATACAAGTAATCCTGATTTAGATGGACGAACATTGGAACCTATATTAAAAATGAATCTTGAAAGTGGTCATGTTAAAACACGTTTAGCACCAACAACATCAATGAATCATATACAACAAGAACAAATTGATAATAAAAATCAATCATTTATTGTTAATAAACCATCATTAAATCATCATGATAATGTAAGAAAATTTCATTTTTAAAAAAACGAAGAAATTGAATTGTAAATATTGTTTTTTTCTTTTGCATTAATTTTAGTTTGAAAATAAAGCATCAAATCGTTGTCATATTGAAGGTTGTGCACATAATTATGTTGCACGTCGTCATCGTGTACAATTATATAAAATACCACGTGATCCAATAATAGCTCGTAAATGGCTTGATATATGTGGTTATGAAAATCATCCCGTATCATCATCAACTTCAACATTTAAAATTTGTCGTGAACATTTTACTCAAAATGATTTTGAAGGACCTACAACATTACGTCCTGATGCTGTACCATCACTTTTTACAACATACTCACGTTCACTTATGGATAAACTTAATTTGAATGATTCAAATTTATCAGCTAAACGTTTTCGATCTGATATGGCAAGTATACGCGCTAAACAAACAACACCAGTAAATAATAATAATAATAATAATAATAATAATAATTTAAATAATAAACGCATGCAAATACCTTATCGAAATAATAGTAAACAATATCATCATCATGAACAACAAACACTTTCACCATCACCAATACGTGAAAATTTCGATGATACTATGAAACAATTATTAAATGAAACAAAACAAACAATTGATATTGAATTAAATATGAATTGTATGGAAGAACAATTATCTGAAGTTCAATTAGCACATTGTCCTGTTAAAGTAAATATTATTTTTTCAGAACTGAACAAGTACGAGTGTTCTCAAGTAGAAGCTAGAGAGTTGCAGATCCATGATTTTTATGAATTCAGATCTGAGAAAAGCTAAAATTCAAGACTCGGTCAGGTCCTTATTGGTTACTCTGAGGAAAAAAGTCAACATACAATTATTTTTTGTTTTTTGATTTTTCCATCACTCGATGTTTAATAAATTAAAAGTTTTTGTTTAGTTTCAAATACGATTATGCGAATAATAAAGGAAATTGAACAGTTAATTGATAAAACAAAATTCGCCAGTAAAAATCTTTAGCTGTACAGCTTAGTTTTAGTTATGTTTATGTAAACGAGAAAAAGCAAGAAGAGAGCAACAGATGGACGTTTGTGTGGATCTGGAAGGCTTCACAGCTCCTCAGCACGGGCCGCCGAGTGCAACTATGAGTACCGTCTCTTTGAATACGAGTATGAGTACGTACTCGTACGTGCTCAGATTAGATTATTTCAAAATGATTTTTATACTTATTTTATTATAAATTAGGCTCTTGATCGAACAGATACAACAAATGGTATAGCACCAAAACCACGTAATCCTGTTGGTCGCCCTCGTATACATCCTCGTGAACCACCAGCACCTCCACCACCACCAACAACAACTTCAATGTCTAATTCTACAACACGTCGTTCAACTTATCGTACAAATTATATTGATGATGATACAAATGAATATGATGAATATGATGAATGGAATCTTGATGAATTCGATCATAATGATGATACAGTACGTGATCGTGATTGGCTTAATCGTCAACAAGATGATCGTCCACCATGGTCAAAACGAAATAATTCAACTGTTAATAATTATTCATCAACATATCATCGTAATAATAATAATAATAATAATAATAATAATAATAACGCAAATTCTTATCGAAATATTCGACAACCAATGTCGTTTCAACAACAACAGCAACAACAACAACAACAACGTCAAACAAATAATAATCAACAACGTCAAAATCGTGGACAATTTTATCAAACACAATTTGTTAAACCAGAACCAACACGAAAAGCTACAATACCATTTCTTCAACCAGCTTTCGCACCAAATGCTTCTACACAATATCCACGTGATCAACCATTGCCTCGTCTTAAACCAGGCACAGTTAGAACGCGAGGTAATTTTTTTTATTCATTTCTTTATCTTTAAAAACAATAATCTTCATTTTTATTTTATAGAAGAAGGTCTTGAAGTCGAACTTGGTATGTGTTGTTCTTGACTAAATTTTTCAAATAATTTATCTTTTTCTTCTTGTCAGAACATACTTATAAACGAGCTCTATCAAAATATTATGGTCAAAAACCCGGTCGAAATTTACCATTATCCGATTATGGTGATTTTCGTAGTCAAGTAAATAAAACAATTTAAATATTAAAAACAAAAATGTTTCATTTCATAATTAATATATGCATGATTATTTTAGTGTCCTATGTGTGAAAATCTTCTATTTGATAATAATATTCAATTAATTACACATCTTTGTCAACATTTTGATCAACAAAATAATCATGAACAACAACAATTTCAACCAAATACAAATTCACCATTTGAACAAATAAATACCAAATGTTTACATTGTCAATCCGAATTTTCAAATCCATATTTTCTTGCTATACATATTGATGATAAACATATGCTTGAAATGAATGAATATCGTTGTCGTATATGTGAACAACGTCATACATCATTATTAGAATTAATAGCACATTTAAATTTATGTCATTGTGGTTTAGAAATGCCATATTATTGTGAAGTATGTTCATTTCGTACATCCATGCATGCTGATATGATTTATCATATTGATGAAGTACATAAAGGCACAAGATATTTCTTTTGTCCATATTGTTTTATTGCTATTGAATTACCATTTATAACAAATTCATCAACAATAATTAATGGAACATTAGCTTATAAACATTTATTATTACATTTTAATAAAGTTGATCAAGGACGTACAATACAATCAAAATTTAAACATTGTAGAAAATGTGTTTTACAGGTTGGATCTATGAAAGATCATTTACAACGTGATCATTTAAATATAGTTGATGGAATTAAAGCTACATACTATGATGATGATGAAAATCGTAAATAATTTTGATTTTATTTAGAAAAACAATAAAAGTTTAAATTGTCCTTTTTTTTTTATTTTTTATTTTTAGTAGAGAAACAAAGTGATGAAGGTGAACAATATGATGATTCAATAATGGATACGTCTTCATTACCTATTGATAAATCGTCAACAGCAAGATATGTGACACCGGCAAAGAGTGGATAAAGATGTGTTTTTTTTCCTTTCTTTTATGTACATTTATTATTATATTGTCTATCTTTCTTTCGTCATTACTCTTCTCCTATCCGTTTGGTCTTGTAGATCGAACACTGTTTGTGTGTTTATGTATGCGTATAGGTGTTATGACATTTATCGTTTTTTTTTTGTCTTTGCAGAATATAACTTTGCGCCTGTCTTTTTTTTCGTCTTCTTTTGATTATCACATAGAACATTATTTGCACAGCAAATAATTTTGCTTGACAATACAAGAGAAAAGAAAGAAATGATAAAGTACAAAAAAACAAAAAAAAAAGCCAAAAACAAACAAATAATCAATTTACAATACAACCAACAAGTTTTGAATACGATAAAATGAAGGACAAAGATGAATTCCTAAAATAGAAAATACAAATATATTAACTAATGATTAATTGACATTCTGTATTTTTCATATTTAGTTGTTTGAAATGATAGATGAATCGATTAGATATTTGATAGCTCATTATATGAAATGTTTATTATAAAACATCTATAATTTGATTTAACCAGAGATATTACCTACAAATCCAATCGATTTTGAGTCGAAATAAGACTTGCACTCAAATTCAATAACAGAATTTGAATACTTTAAAATTATATGAATAAATTGTTGTGTCAAGAGTTTTAGAGAGAAGGAGTCAAACTCTGGGTCAAAGTTTTTTGATTGACCCTTAGCAAATAATCTAACAATATTGTCAAAATTCCTCTTTTGACATTCTCTAGTATCATTCTCCTACTTTAATTTTCTACTGACAGATGAACGTTGTTTCATATGGTTCAGTAAATAAAAGTATGTTTCATCATTTAGGCACGAATGGTCTAAATGAAATTTATTGTAAAAATTTCCGAACTTTTGATTGCTCCTATTCTAAAATAAGAACATCGGAAATTCATCGATGAACAAGAGTTATATGAAGAACATACTGTTTTCATCAATGTGTTTTGAAGAATAAACGAAATAAAAGATTTGTAAATTTTACAAAAAAATGAATTCCATTGACATATGTTTTTGTGCAAAAATTTGAATCAAAACTCGAAATTTAGTTTTCCTAATATTTCTAAGTGAAATGTAATAAGTTATGGTTTGACTAAAAAGTGAATAGAACACTTCGTAGAGTCCATTCATAACTAATAATATTAAGGGATGTTTGCACTTTATCATATGTGTTATAGGTCCGTTTCTCTAGTTAAAGCTGCCAATAGAGTGAGATAGTTGAAACAGATTGTAGCTTTATTATACAAGCACATCTGCATGTTATATCGATAAATACACACAAGAATAATATATATTAATAGTAAAAATTGTACATTCTAATACTAATATCCACCAACTGTTTAAACAATACAACAATATGACCTATAGAGGAATAAACTGGAACATCTTATGTTTTATTCAATGTCTACAATACTTGAAGATTTCTTGTAAGCAAAGTTCCAAATGCATATTATAAAACATATTTTGAATGGCTCATCTTATCTAATCAGATGATTCTCGAATATCTGTACAAATACAGAAAGTCATTTGGGAAGTGTCTCATTTTACCGAGAGAGTTAGCTATGAATTAGTGAGTAAAAATCATAGATATATAAAATTTTTATTTTAGTTCTTCTTTAACAACAATTCAGAGTTTTTTTTTCCTATCAATATCATGAAAATTTATTATTAAAAAATTTTCAAAAAGATAAACAATGTTTTCAAATCAACATACTTGATATGTATATAGAAAATCACATCTGATTATTTTAACTGAGACATGAAAGATAAATCAGTATTGTTTATTTAGATCACCGGTGAGAAGACCATCGATTATTCATATGAACCTAAGATAGAAAAAAAGTAAGATATTTGACAAAAGATTGAATTTTCTCAATCAAACTTGTTCATAATTATTAGCTGTTGTTGGCCGACGTCGAATAGTTGCCATCGGTAATTGTTTAGTTCGATCGAATTTTAATGGATAAGATCGATGATGATACGCTTAAAAAAACCAAGATTTTCTATTCAATACAGTATGTCCCAAAAGTCCCTTCACGAAAGTTTTTTTTTCGTATATCTTTACTATCTGATTCAATTGTATCCACTAGTCTTGTTGAAAAATGATAGTTTCATGCAATAAGCTTTTAGTTATACAAGTAAACTTCAAAAGTGCTCTTCAAAGCTATCATTTCTAAGTGATATACAACAAATTAGCCTTTTTTTTTCTATATGTAGATAAACAACATAAAACTGTTTGTTTTTAATCATTGCCATTTCTTGAATCATTCTGATTTTAAATAGTCGTGTTAGAGACATTCGTTTTGACATATTCCAAGAAAAAGAAATCCAATAAGATTAGTTCAAGTAACCGTGAAGATAATGCAATTGGTTCATCTTTTCTAAACCATTAATTATTAAAATTATTGATCAATAAGAAGCAACCTATCTTCGAGAAATATACTAATGTCCTACGTTGCTGAAAAATCACTTTTTTTTCTTTAAAATCAGATAAAAGAAGTTTTTGAGTAGTATTAACAAACAAATACTGAATGTGAGCGTTAGAGCTCGTCGAATCCAAAGTTTTTGGACCACGATCCGATTGAGTTCAGAACCAACTAAATGGACTCTAGTGACCATGTGCATAATGTCTTTATACATGTAGCAAAAAAAAGGGCTGAATCTTTTGTATTTGGGTAAAAGTTGATGACTTTGAAGGATACTTTTGAAGTTCATTTTTACAAATGAAAACTAATTGTATGAATCTATCATTTAAAAAAGGATGAATATTTAATCAAGTTGAATCATATAGTAAAGATATATGAAAAAGAACTTTGTGAAATGACTTTTGGATACGCTGTATTTTCTAATTAACTTACAATCATTTGTTTGAGGATAAGTATTTCTTTTGAAATTTTCTTCATAACTTAAATATGATTTTTTTTCGTCTATGTTTAAATTTAATGGATAATGATAAGTATAATGTTCTTTAAGTGATTTAACATGAAGTATACATCGATTACAATATTTAAATGATGATTCAATACGACGTTGTTGTTTACTATTACTATTTTCAATTCTATCAAAATGAAGTATAACATGACGAAAAGCAGGTGTTGAATTAAGAATATTTGTATTTGATATTGCTGGCAATAATACTGATTGAAAACAATATGGACAAAAAAAATATTGTGTCCCTTTATGGACCTAAAAAAACAAAAAAAAATACTCTAAATAAAGAATAAAACACTTTGATTTTCTTTTTTTGTTTTGAAAACAATTCATAGCAGTTTATTCTAGCGCAGAAAAAAAAACGAAAAAAGTGATAAACATTAAACTGCAACTGTCACAAAACAAAGCGATTATTAAAAATATGTTTCAATAACAGTTCTACTAAACCTCGAAACATGCTACAAGATATTTCATGAAAAAGTACATTCCGCGATATTTTGCAGCTTTAGAACTGTACGATTGAGAACAATCTAAGGATTTTTGTTGTTCGGTTTAAAAGTTACATCATTTTGGTGAGAATTAAATTTTGCGTTCATTGAGAGAGTGAATTTTTGACAAGACAAGTTTCAAAAGCGTAGTGAAAAAAAAATTACCAGATATTAGTTTCAAGCCTTTACACCTTAACAAAATGATTAGGAGCCGTGAGAAGATCTTAAGAGCATAGAAAAAAAAAATTCTCTATCTAGTGATGCTAAATAATTGACATTTAGTATCGAACTTCATGAGCGAAAATCGTTAGATATTTGCAGAAGGTTCGAGTTGAGCAGTGAAGCAACCACCAATCTTTCCAATATCTTGTCGACAAGAAAAGTTTAATTTAAAAAAAGAGGTCTAAAATTTTGTAAAGCGAAAAAATCTCCATCGAATAAGCTTAGAATGGTACTTTTGAACGATGTTTTCGTTCTTCAAAAAAACTGAAAAATCAAACTGTCTCACTATTTATTGACCATTCATTATTTTTAATACATTAATAAAAACAGACAAACTTACTTGGCGAATATGATGAGCCATATCTTCATACATTGATGTTCGGTAATTACATCGATCACATATATATGGCATATCGAGACCAACATGCATATAATTCAAATGTGTAAATAAATCTAATAAACTATGATGATTTTGTTGACATATTCGACAACGAAATTCATTTATTTCAATCATATGTTCTTGATCTTTATGTAATAATGTTTGAAATGGTGTTGAAAATTCATCATGACATATTGAACATCGTCGATAGACTTTATCAAATGGACTTATATAATTAAGATCATCTTCAAAATGTGAACATAAATGTGCTATAAATGACATATTATTTGATGACTGTTCACCACATATAGAACATTCTAATGAAAAAAATTATTTTTTTGTTTTTTCTTAAATCAATTTAAAAGAAAAAAAAACCAAACATACTAATACGAAAATCTCCATAATCATTCGAATTTATAGTTTGACCATTACGAGTACCATAAAAACGTGGTAATACAGTAGCATACGTACGTTCTAGTTCAAGTTCAAGTGAATCTATACTATGATGATGATGATGACTATCATTCGAAGATGATGAATAAAGTTTTGAACGTATGTGAGAATTTATTTCAGGTTGTGGTCGAACAAAATGAGTTGTTGGTACTAATCGACTATTTGCTGAAGTTAAATGACCACGTCCACCACGACCACGACCTCAAAAACCGCAAAACCTTTTACTGATTGTTTAATGAAAAAATAAACAAAAGCTTTACCTCGACCAACACTACCATTAACATGACTACTACGATTATATGGACGTCGATCGTGTTCAGGTAAATAATTTTCATCATCATCATCATCATCGGACTCACTTGGAATAAAGTCTTCGTCTGGATCTTGAAGAATTTCAATATTTGATGTAGTTAATTTTTTTAATACTGTTGTACGTTTACGAACAGCTGGTAATGGAAGAGGAGCAGTTGGATCATATGCCTGAATATGAAATAAAAAG